GAGGGCAGGTATAAAAATAGATGATGTCCGTTCAGAAAAAATCAGGGATGACGCATATTTGTGACATATATTAAGCACACAGGTCAGAACATCCTTTCAAATTATACTTTGCAAAAATTATCAAACCTGTGATTAATTTCAAAATGACAAATCTCGATTCTGTTGAAAAGTGAACTATTGTTGTTATACCTTCGCTCATCAGCTTTTCTGATGTAAGATAAGCAATGAAGAAACAAAAGTAAATTAGCCTTTATTTTCACTCAAAATGACCAGCATTTCTATCATTCGGGTGCTTTCAAGATATATATTTTCAAGATATATATTTTCACATGAAAGAACAATCCTATGATTTCCTGCTGGAAATGAATTGCTTTAAATCTTAAGCACACTCTTGTGATTTTGTCAGACTTGAAAATTAATCTCTTAAGTTAAGCACTACTTTAAAATCTTTGAAAATATTTCATAATGGAACGAACTTTCTTAACACCCCTTACATGTTGATTTTAAATGTGATTGGACATTTTTGGTTCTTTTTTAACGCATCATTCTGTAGAAAAATAATGTCTGTAAATAATCTATTTTCAGCATTTCACACTGTTTTTGCACGTGCTCTTGTGTAAAAATAAGCATATAAAGGTATTAATTTTAATGCCTTAAAATTTGAGGGTGTTGCAGTTCTTTTGTTATTTTCCCTAAATGTGTAGCAGATTAAAAGAAGAATTTTCATGTTGCAGAAACTCGTATTATTTTTTCTCAAATGCAACAATATATAAAGCACAACGACAAACAATATTTGGAAGCTGTGCATTGACTTCCAATTTGCCATTAAATGATGTGAAAATTAGTCCCACGGCAAAACATATCAGATTTTCCGTTTTTTTAATAGGGAATCCCCATTGTTCTGAAAAAGTGCCTCCTTGAAACAGAATAATTTTGATATATACACAAAGAGACAGAAATTTTCTTCAAAACTGCCATTTCCGATTTTTGTTTCAAAGAGGCACATTTTTGAAAAACGCAAAAACTGAATAAAAATTATTCTCCAGATGAAATGCAAAATGTGTATATTAAATAACGCTGAAAAACAACCGTGTCCGAAATGGTCTAGTGGATATGCTGGTGGCCTTCCATCTAGTACTTTTACCAGAGAATGGGTTCGAATCCTGGAATGAATCATTTTTGCATATTTTGTTTTTCTTATTTTTTTTCCCCAGTTGTAATGTTAGTGTAATTATATTTTTCGAAAGAGACAGGGAATGTCAAGAGTAATAACGTATAAATGAGAAATGCAGGATTGAATTGTTTTGCTTGCTGTGACTTAAAACTAATGTTTTATTTAGTTTTGTCTTGGAAAGTAAATTTATTGTATTGTTTAAATTTATGTTTTACTGTAGCTATTGCAATTTTGAACAATTCTGGTCTCTTAGTAGCCAAGATTTGATTTGAAATAAATATAATGTCTTGGATGTAGCACCAACAGTGTGATTATGGGACACAGTTTTATTTCATGAAAACTATTTCCGCGCGATGTCTACAATATATCTTTCAAAATGCTGCTTTAGCTATTGTGCTTTTTGTTGCTCCAACCTTTTTCGTGCAAAATGACGAAAGTGTTTTGCTACATGTATATCAAGCAGGAAACACCCGCCATAAACATAGTCCTCTACGTATAGCTGTATCTATATTTAGACATAACGAGGGTATTTAAGGGTATATTCGATTAACCGACACGGGTTACACGAGTCACTAGAGTTGTTTAAGGAATCACTGCCCGTTATGCTAAAATTATCCCATGTTTCCCACTATTGTTGATGTCCCTGGCATACTCTCAAAACTAGACAGTGATTCCTTATATTTCCATTTCATTGTGAAATAAAATTGTAGATTTAGACTTTAAAATGTAGACATAGACTTAAATCACACGAGGACTTCCATGCTAATTTCAATAGTACTCGCCCACTGACGTCAAACACAAAGGCAGCCGCACGAGATTTACATGCATATTTGGCCTCCTTAGCGTCAGACACAGAGACAGATGCGCACGAGATTTGCATGCGTATTAGGCCTCCTTAGCTCCTGACCTATCGACCTGCCTAATTTACATTCCGGCAGAATTATCAAGAAATAAACTCTGACAACTTTCAAAGAGTTATCACAGAGAAAAAAATTAGAAATGGAAATATAAATAAAACAACCTTTCTTCGACACGGGTGATCAACTCGTGTTACGCGAGTATACTCCCCAGTTTACCTGGAGTAACAGGTAAAAGAAATGGCGGGAAGTGAAGACGCATTGTTAATGCGAAAACTGTTTCTGCATAAATTTGTCAGTGTTTGTATTAGAAATTTACAACGTCAATGAAAAATGTCTGCATTATAATTTTGACATCCCTCCTTTTTTTTTTTTTTTTTTTTAGTTTTTAGGTCAACCTCTTTAAATTACTGTTGTGTAATCATTGACAGTTTATATATTTAAATAAAGAAGTTTATCCATTTTTTTTTTAAATCTGCTTATAATTGTTGCCCGAACCCCTGGGACCTGTTTTAAAAAAGAACTTACGACTAAAACTAAAAACTTATGTTGATTATAATTTTTTGAAAATTAACTGTTTTGGAAATTGTTACCATAGATACATTCTAAATTCTTTTCAAGAAGAATAAAATTGCAGAATTAAATTTTGGTCTTAGGTGTAAGTTCTTTTGTAAAACGGGCCCCTTGATTACAAAAATGTCTAAAAGATGCATATTGATTCACTAATAAAATTTAACAATCGCATCATAGATATGTCGTGTTAATTACCTTATGAAGTTAAATTATTATTATAAATAATGCAGTTTAAGATAATTACAGGATCAAATGTGATAGCAATTACAGTTACATGCATGTATATTACAATGTAATCTTTATAAATATGGAGGTCGGGTCCCCAGAACCAACCGATTCTTGTTTACAATAAATGTTATAAGTATATAGAAATTACCTTTTCAGCCTTTAATTACAATCGTAATAATTGTTGAACATTTCATGCGTATTTTTTCAAGAATAATTTTAGTTGAAAAAGTGATCATTATTTTTACAGACTCAAAATTAAAATCCACAGCCATGTAAGACCATGAAATAAACACATTAGCTCAAGTTTTCTTTCCAACCGGCGTCACATTTTTTGGTAAAAGTACCAGGGATATTTGTCTCTCACATCCTGTGACTAACACTATATTAATGAAAAATGTCAGCTCTGGTACTACATTGACCAATTATTATACCCCATGCAAAATGTTACGGGGGAGAGAATACAGGCACGTAGCAGCTGGTGGAATCGCTCCCCACACTTTTTTCCCCCAAACATCTCTTTACTTTTAAGAAATCTTCGTTGAAAGACCACCGATAGCTTCCTCTCCCTTTTCGTTACAGTAAAGCCAAGCATGGGTGAAGTCGTCTTGTATGAATAAAATTTGATGCTGAAGGAAGTGGGACCTACATCCTCCACCTCTAACTAAATAGGAGTTTCGGGGTTTTTTTCTCTGGCTTGCCCCCCCCCCCTTTTAAAACGATGGTGCGTCACAATAATATTTAATACTATGGACATGTATGTATGTGAAGACATTATTATTCTACTTTGTTTTTTGTTTAAAAAATATTGCAAGAATAAATAATCTATAAAATACATGTTGTATCTGTAAAAAAAAAATACATTTTGCTGAACAATTAGTTTCAGCTTTGAGGTCTTATATTTAATTATCTGCTATTCTCTATTTGATTATTGGATATTGATTGTTAATCAATTGTTTGTCCTGAACAAACCACATGTACAGGGAATATACTGTTTTTCCCCGATATACTTATACAAACACTAAACAACACGAGATATTTTATTTAGATTACTAGAGTTCAATCAGTGAGCATGCGCATATTTAACACTAGTGCGACACGGGTTGTCTTAATCGAATACACTCTAAATGTTCTTCTCGATATATAGGGAATAATCACGAGTTTCTGCAACACCCTCTTTTAAGGTTTCGTCAAAGGTCAACATGTTCAAAAAATTATTTTTACAATAGCCCCAAAACTATGTGAGGTATAAAGTTAAAACTTTTACAGTTTATAAAGTTTTCATCGCTTAATAGATAGAAAGTATCACTTGATAAATAAGATACTTGGAAAAAATATTAATTGAGAAAAATTCTCCTTAAAAATGCATATATTTTCAATAAATACACCTAATTAATTCCGTGCTTTTAGTGAAAACCATCATTACAGAACAAAATATGTTTATCAATGAAGGGCAAGTTGGACTTGGGTAGCCTCTGGAAAGTTGTTTTCCTTGTTTATTTTGTCCAAATTTTAAGACTTGAAAGTGAAAGTACATTGCAAATGGCGGATTCTATAGGGTCTTGTCTTTATACATGTCATGCTTTCAATAACAGTCTTTCAGAGACCATTCACGTCCAACTTGCCCTTCAATTAAACATATATTATTTCTGCAATGATGGTTTTCACAAAAGCAACAGAATTAAGCAGGTGCATTTTTTTTTAAATATGCACATTTTCTGACACAATTTTTCTCAAAAAATTTTTTTTTTTTTAAATATTTGTAATCAAGTGATACTTTCTAATCTATTCATCAATAATATATTATAAACTGTAAACATTTTGACCTTATACCACACATATTTTTGGAGCTATCGTAAAAATAATCTTTTAGACATGTTGACCTTTGACGAAACCTTAAGCATGTGGCCAGGAGAGAAATGTCAAAGTTTTGAAAATTTCACAAATACTTTTTGGACATAGGTCCCCCCTTAATTTGAAAACAGCATCTGTACTCTTTGTCGACAAGAATATGTTCAGCTCATGTTTTTAGCTATTTATTTTTTAAAAAGGCATAAGATTGAAGACAAAATGAATTAAAATACGGTTCTGGCAAGACAAAAGACTAAGTATTAAGTCTGCATTTTGCTTTCACTTTGTGTAAGCACTGATAGAAACGAACAAGCACACAGTTAATACATCAATCATATATTTAATCAACAATAACATAGTAATTGAACAAAGGTGACATTCATAGCAACTTCTGGCGCTGTAGGGATCTACGAACGAACTGTCCAGCAGACTGCTTGTCTAACCTAAAGGAATAGAAATACTTAGATTAGTACTAGTGGTAATTAAAAATATCTTGCGAGATCTATACTAAAAATTATAAAATCTTGGAAGTTATATTTAATTAAGCTATTAGAAATTTCTCAAGTATACACATTATAAAATACATTTATACATTGAAAAAAAGTATTTTGATAATGGTCTTACTTCCTGGACAGTTCGGCCGTGTAAACATTTAACCACATGGACAGGGCTTGGGATTTGTGTCTAGTTTCTGTCAGGGCTCTCTCTGTAAGGAAATACACACAGTTAGTTATATGATTTATTTTCAAAATTATTTTGATTTTCATTTTTCTTCAAAAAATACTTTCACTGTTGATTAGTTACTAGTATACAAAATTTACCATTCTCTTTCTGCCTTTCTTCTAAGGTGTTGAACTCGGCATTCAATTTAATCCTCAGGTGTCTGTTTTCTGCAAAAGTGAGTGAAAATATATATTAGACCGTATATCAGACATCGTAATATATAAAGAAAGAAAAAAATAATTAGAAATTGAAGCTGCAAGGTTATAATAATAACCTTCTCCCAGACTGGCCACTGCCCTGTGCATCCGCCCTAGATGCTCCCTCATCTCAAGTCCCATCCAAATAACTGATACACACAAAGCCACAAAGGAGAAACCAGCACCCAAACGTACATAGTCTTTTGTAGAGAAGGAAGAAGTGAAATCAATGAAGAGAGAGTGTTTATGAACCGAAAGAACTTGCTCCAAGAATCCAAAACATTGTCCAAAGAGTGATGAAATGTTGTCCAAAATGTTGCCACAGTACCCCAAAACACAAGCTGTCACACTAACGGCGTGATCCCCAAACTGAATAAAGCATAACTCAACATTGTCCAACATGTCGACCAACAATGAATAAGTGTCCGCGATAATGGTGATAGCAAAAGTGGACAGAGAGTCCATGGCACAGATGCTGCTGGTGGTGAGAGAGGCCGAGAGTTGGAAGACATTCTCGTCCACACTGGAGAGCATTTGCTGAGAAAGAGAGGAGACAGAAATAAGAGAATAGAAGATCAGATACCACAGTTCAAATAGAGATAAAGATGGCCGAGGCCTAATCTTACCGAAATGCGCCAAGTTGCTTCTGTCCACATGCCCTGTACAGCACTGAAATAAAAAAAATACATTGTAGTTTTAAATTTTTAATACATAAATACATGTACATGTACATATTATGTACCAGTTTACACTTACCGGTACACATATTTACATATGTTTATGTTTGCAATGTGTAACCCACCCCCCCCCCCCCCAAACACACACACACAAAAACGACAAAATAAAGCAAAATTATATGTCAAAACAGCTTCACAAGATCTTAGAGAACATCGCTGTAATGAATTTTTGTTTTTGAAATGAATTCAAAGGGAGAAAATTACCGACGTCCGCAACGGTTACGACCGTATCTAAGGAGAATTTTTAATGACGCTAGCCTATTATCCGCTGGAAAAAAATATTCTTCAAATTTAAATTTAATATGCCTATATTCTCTCTTTTTAATTAATTCCCTTTCAGGACTGCACTTACTCATACATGTCTGGCCATTCCGGGATGGTGACCGGGCCAGCAGGAATCAAAGAGAGAAGGAATACTAAGGAGGCGATGTTCATCGTGACACTGTTGTTTTGCGACTGATGCTGGGTTACAGGAGGGCTTGTATATATACCCTCCTGTATTTTTGCGCCCTTTCTGATTGGTTCAATTTTGAGCGCGCTGATTGGCGTATAACGGCCAACTTGAAAAGAGCGCGAAAACGTTACGGACAGCTGTTGGCCATCTTGAACAACGATTTTGTGCTACTGGTATCAAATAAATTAAGCGTCATGTCAAAATATTCAGGTTAAATTGAAATATTACATCGGATCTGAAGTCAAATTAAGGTCAGCTTTCTTAACGTGTTAAAATTATGCACAAACTATGTTTATTTTTCGAAAATTATTCAAATTCGTGATATTTTTGAAGTGTTTTTTAGTATCAGGGAACTGAAATTAATTTTTTACTACACCCTATCAACTGATTTTCTTCTGAAAATCAATGAGATTAAAGAAATCATGTAGAGAGGATTTATTTGGTACGGAAGATTGCGGCCCACAATGAATTTATGCATCATAATATCGCCTTGAAATTAAAAAACAAAACACAGGCAGCAAAAGTAGCCAAAAATGAAAACCTAAGTTACCCTTTTTTGCACTTATTGCCTTTTTTCCCAAATATTTTGGAGAAGAAAATAAAAAAACTGCTTTAGAAAGTTGAAAAAACTTTGAGTTCCACTTAAATAAGCTTTTATTACAAAGTTTAGGATTCCTTACTAAACTTCTTTTTATGCGCCATGTTGTTTACATTAGTTACGACGCGTCATGGTAACGGTATGCATTCGGAGTACACTACATATGGATAACATAATGTTCCGAGTATTTTTCAAGGGGAATCCGGGAATACAGCTTATCATATTTTCAAATTATATATTTCGGGTGCTTTAAAATAGAAAATTCCGTGTAAAAACAGGTTATAATATTAGAACAGAACCTCAGATAGGCCTATTTAAAAATTAAAGTCCCTTGCTTGGCTGTTTGGCTTTGGGGAAAACCCCAAAGCAAAGAATCCTCACACTCGCAGCAGCCTTTATAAATTTCAATTTCTGGTATTGTAACTTTGTCATTTGACTGAATAAAAAAAAATATGCATCTTGTAGGGTTTTTGATGGATGTTAAATAAGTGCCCTACGGGTCTCATTTAGATTAGATTTTTTTGGACCCAGCAAAGGGACACAACTTTTGCAAAGAGTGGACTATTTGATAGTCTTAGTTGCAAAAGCTGCTTTCCCCGATTGAAATTCAACCTTCAAAATTTAAACCTTCCTCTGACATCTATAAGCAATAAATTTTCATGAATTCCAAATATATCCGTGTTCTGGAAAGACTAATCCAAACGGTTAGGCCTAACAGTGAGGGTGAAAATCAAAAAGGTCAAAAATAACTCAACTTGAACTTACCTCCAAAACGAAAGCAAAAAGTCCTTTCAATGAATATCGGAATTCCAGTTAACGAAATCCTTTTAATATCAAATGAATTATGTATTAGAGTGATTGTTGGTAACTGGTTTGGTCATGGTGTAGCACTGCGAGAATGACTTTGAAGTGACGTCATATTTGACATCAAGGGAGGCGATTTTGCTATTTTTGGAGTTATCTCTCTTTCATTGGACTGTTTGCTGGTTGTCCCATCCCCTAACACACAAGTATACACCCAGACACACATCCTCATACTCACTATTTGTTGCTAAAAGTTCAACCATTAACAATTTCCAGATTTAAACGAAATGTACCAAAATGAAAGAATAGGATTCACCCGGAGACCCCCATAATTTTTTTTTTGTGATTTTTTTTTTCCTTTTTAGATTTCTTTTTAGGTTTCCCGACCCCTTTTAAAATCGTTAAGTGCCTAGCGTGGTATTAATGATGGATTTTATTGTAAAGAAACTTGAAAAAAAGATTAGATTTTCATTTCAAACTTAGTTTAAATTTTTTTCCTTGAGTTGTTTTTACTTTAGGATAGTCAATTCACCGTGCATTGGACATAAATTAATCATGCATTGGCCATTAAATGAAATGGACATTGTCCAGTGCATAGATATTTTACTTCATTGTTTGCCTTTATGTAGAAATAAAAAATATATATAGCCTCCAATAGTTTGCAATAAGTTGTTTTGTACTCAATGCAAATTTTGCTTTATAAATACTTTTATATCAAAAGTATTTTATGAAGGAATCTGGAATATATTGTAACAAATCCATCTTTTATGAATTAGTTGAATTTCTGGAGTCCACAGTTCAGTCAGCTTACAATCATCATAAATTTACATTGTCAAGTCAAAGGAAAGCAAAACAAGCAAATTCAAAGAATTGTGGTCCCCCACTTTCGGTGTCTTTGTGGGAGAGATGTTATTATTATGACTTATTGTGTCTAATATGAACACCCTGTCATGTGTCTTTTATTTGTAAATTATCATTGAAGTTGATTTTTTTTTTTAAATAAGGTCAATCGTGAAGGTCAAGATCGAGGGGTAAGAAATCATAGCATGCTCGGAATTACCTTGTCACAGGTAATGCACATGTCAAATATAAAAGCCTTATCTCTTCTCAATATAAGGAACAAGATATGTTTGTGAAACACTGCATGATGACCCCGTATGGCAACATAACGAAGATTAACCTTTTCTAAAATGTAAATTAAATATATTATTACCCATATTATTACCCTAGCCTTTACCGTTCAAAAGTTATGATCAAGGTTAAAGTGTTTTCATAAGAACGGAAATCGTCAAGATTGAAAGGTCAAAGTTATTGGTATCCATTGAAAGAATACATATGTGAAATATGAAAGTCCTAGTATCTACCGTTCAAAAGTTGTGACCAAGGTTCAAGTTTTTAAAAAGTAGTTAAAACTCTGAGGTCAAAGGGTTAAAGTTCTTGGTATCCAATGAAAGGTCTTATCACATGTGAAATACAAAAGTCCTAGCCCTTACCATTCAGAAGTTATGGTCAAGGTAAAAGTTTTTTTCATAAGTACGGAGAAATCTCCAAGGTCAAAAGGTCAAAGTTTTGGTATCCAATGAAAGGTCTTGCCACAAATATGTAAAATATGAAAATCCTAGTATCTACCGTTCAAAAGTTGTGACCAAGGTTAAAGTTTTTAAAAGTAGTTAAAACTCCAAGGTCAAGGTCAAAGTTCTTGGTATCCAATGAAAGGTCTTCTCACAAGGATTACATATGTGAAATATAAAGCCTTAGCCCTTATCATTCAAAAGTTATGGTCAAGGTTAAAGTTTTCTCATAAGTATAGAAATCTCCAAGGTCAAGGTCAAAGTTGTTGGTATCCAATGGAAGGTCTTGCTACAAAAAATTCATTTGTGAAATATGAAAGTCCTAATATCTACCATTCAAAAGTTACGGCCAAAGTAAAAGTTTGTAATTTTTGTGTTAAAGTGGGTCAAACTCCAAGGTCACGGTCAAAAGGTCAAATTTGGTGGTACCCCAAAGAAAGTTCTTGTCACAAGGAATACCCATGTGAAATATGTAATGTATACAGTAGTGACAATACTGAATTTTCGTATCTTGTCATGACAACGGACATAAATTGAAATAAATCAAAATTTTCAGTTTTTAATTTGTTCATATCTATTCTGTAAAGACTTACAACTTGTTTTAATACTGTCTGCACCAATCGGTATATGTACGGAAGCCCGTTGGTGCCATATATGAAAAATATTTTATCTAGCGGCCGCCACTTATATAATGGCTTCCGCCAAAATATTTCCGCCACATAATTTATATGGCTGCCGCTACATAATATCTAGCGGCTGCTATATACTAGTATAATATCTGGCGGTCGCCAAATATTTATCTGGCGGCTGCTATATAATATCTGGCGGCCGCCAAATATTTATCTGGCGGCTGCTACATAATATTTGGCGGCCGCCAGATAACACCTGGCTTCCTGATGCGCGCGCATGTTTTAACGTGTGATTTCAGAGGTGGATACAGTGTTAAAATTAGCGGCATCAATCATCCAAACTTGTAAGAGATTTATTAGGACCCAACACTCCAAACCATATTTCTAGTAGATATGTTTTTGCATAGAGCAGATTAATATTTGATTTGAATTATGCAAGTCGTTGTAAAGTGTTTCGGCTATTAAGAGGCCTCATCAGGGGTCACGAACATAAATCATGGTGTTAGTTTTAGGTGAGACCGGATTATCTCGTCACCTATATTCTTGTGTTTGCTGTAAGCTATGATTGGTTGAGAATTAAATAAAGTTTTGCATTCTGGATTTCTAAGAATGGTGTTCCAATATTTAAGAATTCGTTTTTTATCATTAACTTTTTTATCATCCATCTTCTTAACCCAATAAAGATACAATAACAATCACCTTTTGCAAAATAATTTTTGTGGCGGCCGCCAGATAAATTATGTGGCGGTCGCCAGATAAAATATTTTCGTACGTGGCACCAACGGGCTTCCGTAGTATATGTATATCATATTCTGTATACAAAAAAAAAATAGAACTTTGTGTAGGATATAATGAAATCCTCCTTTGATTTCAAACAATCAAAGCAAACTCTTCTTTTATTACTTCTTTTTAGCGGCTGAAATTCATACAACACCAAAGAGGGTGTTAGTCCAGATTCCCATTACAATTTCAGACATTGTTATAAATAACATAACTTGGAAAATGAAAAAAAAAGTACTCATGGCCTGTCTTCTCAAGTAATCACACAGGGCGGATTTTATCATAAGCTCACCTGTATATTGAAGACAACGAACCATTTTCAGTGCTTAACTTTAACGGTTTCTGACAACGGTACTGTCTAGCAGTGACGTAGCATCGTTTTTGAAGGGTGGGGGGCAATCCAGGAAAAAAAAATTTCAACCTACCTGAAAAGAAACTAGACAAGCAAAAAAAAAAAAATTGCCCAAACTCGAAAATCCTATTTCGTATTGGGGATGGGGTGTCTTGTTTAGTTCGACTTCTTTCAGTACCAAACTTTCATCCTATTCACAGGCTATTGTACTGTTTTACCATTCTTTGACCCTTACCCTTACAAAAAAAGGGTGAGGGACAACCAGGCTTTCAATGAACATTTTCAATCGTAAAAGGTTTTGTTTGGAAAAGGGGTCACCCCCCCTCCCCGTTGCTACGTGCCTGTCAAGGAACTTAACGTGTTCCTGGCCGTGTAATATATACTATTCCAATTAAGACGTTTCCAAACGATAAGATTTTTATGCGCCTGGATCGATAGAGCGGGTGTATATTGTTTCTGTTCTGTCTGTCTGTTTATCTATCTGTTGTCAACTTTATCCTTCACAATAACTTTGGAACCATGAAAGATCGAGACTTCATATTTGGTATGCATACTCCACTAATTAAGCTCTTTCAAATGTCACCAAGGTCAATGACCTTTTTGACTTTGACCTATATATGCTAAAATATTTTTTTCGAACTTTCGCCATAACTTTTGAACCATAGGAGTCAGAGACTTCAAATCTGGTATGCATACTCCACAATTAAGATCTTTCAAATGTCACCAAGGTCAATGACCTTGACCTATATGCTAAAATATCTTTTTCGAACTTTCGCCATAACCTTTGAACCATAGGAGATAGAGACTTCATATTTGGTTTGCATACTGCACTAAGTTTAAAAATTCTATCAAATGACACCAAGGTCAATGACCTTGACCTACTAAGTATATACTCGATAGCTTTTTTGAACTTTGTTGCCGCCAGGCACACAGTGTTTCACAAACACATCTTGTTCATTTATATTCGTATGTAAAACTTGCATTGCCCATTCTCTATGGCCCCACTCGAGCCCCAGGGGTCAAAGTTAAAACAAATTTGAATCTACACTACCTGAGGATACTAGTAGTTACATACTGATGTTTCTTGAGAACAAGATTTATAATAAAAAGAAATGTTTAATTTTGACTAAATAGACATTATCTCCCTTTGGAAGGACGCATTGCCCACCATTTAGAAAAGATTATTCCCTTTACCCAAAGATACATGTACTTTTTTTGACATTTCTGGTTAATATTGGCCAAGTGGTTCTTGAGAAGTTAAAAAAGTTTACAAAAAGATAGAAAAATACCACAAAAAGGTGATCAGAAAAGCTTACTTCAGACTTAGCTTTGGCAAATCAAATTTCATTAATTTGTACATACATTTTTTTACTGACAAATCTGATTTTTGTTAAAGGCATCATAACAAGTGTTTATGATCTTGCTTAGAACAGAGCTAATATGATTATGAAATATGGACAGACAACCCAACAACAAAAAATTAATCCTTTAAAAATTTTGCAGTATCTGTATATTTTATTAGTTTTATATTTAAAGTACATCTATAATTATTTTTTTCAATATCATTGCTTAGAGCACTATAACAATAAATTATTTTCAAATAACATTTCAAACATATAAATTTTATATGTTCTGACACTGTATAAGAAAAATCATAATTCTAATATAAAATAAGGGAACAGAAGCATCCCTCAACAATAATAAAATGAACAGAGATGACAAAACATAAAATAGCCTTTCACCCACAAGTTTACATATTATCAAACATGTGTATCATTTCTTTCAGGTGAGAGTGTAGTTATTGCAATTTCAAGCATGATTATTCAAAGGATAATTATGACAATTCAACATAAATTTATACTTCATATTGCGATAACTTGCAAATCTGACAAGAATATTCTGAAAGCATTTTATAACCATAGATTTAATGGCAATTAACATTTCAATGCTTTTTTCAACAAATCTTTTAAAAAAAACAATGGCCTAAATTCATTTGAATGGATGTCATGACATTTTTTGCCCTGGGAAATAAGCTGAGGCTAAGGGAGGTTGACTGGTTTTGGGGGCCACGGGGTGGTGCTGCCCCACCCTTGTAGCATGCACCGGTGGTGCCACAGAAGTCTGTATGATGGGTGGGGACTCCATGCGGCCCCCTAATCCCCTCACATGTATGGGCTCCTCTCTTTTCTGCAGATATTTGGGATCTAGAGGTGGGTCACTGAAGATAAAGAAAGCAAAATTAAAATTTCATTCCATCAAATACATTAAATGTATTTCTAAAGTGGTCTACATATTGATTTTTGACAGTTCATATTAAATGTTATGAAAATACTCATATGTTTCATTCATACATAGATTAACAAATGAAGGAGAGCTTTGAAAAAATGACCTACTTTTCCTTGTCCCCTCCAGAGAGCCCGGTGATGGCTGAGGACTGTGAGGACTTGGGGCGGGTCTCCTCGGGAATAGAGGGAGGGTGGGAGGTTCTGGACATTGGCTGGGGTAGCCCCGTTCTGCGAGGCTGACCAGGATTATACTGAACCTGTAAACAGTTCCCAAAGCATGAACCATTGTAACATATTATAAAGCAATTTATGCAAGTGTGATGTGGGAGACAGAAGGTCAAACACAATATGCTTGGAAGCCATCAAGCCAATAAAATAATATTTTAATGAAATGTTAAATTAAATTTTTCTGGCTCTGTTTACCTGTGGTTGTCTGTGAGTATTGGTATACGTCCTGGGAATCCCTACACCTGACCCTGGACCTGGTGTTTCAGAATGGGAATTCATTGAACCATAGCTAGACGTACTGTAGTTATGCTATCATGAAAGCAAATCAAAAGCATGACCATTTAACATTTTAATATAGAATGGACAAATAGTAAAATTGCTCCTTTTTGAAGAAAAATGTAAGCCAAAAATCATCTTTTAAAAATTTCAGTGAATCATGGTATATCAAAAGTACAATCAACATGGCTGTAAATATGAAGTATAAAATCGATTAAAAACATTTTTTTCATCCTTCCTTTACAGTGTATACTACTTTGATAAAAGATCTGCATTTTCTTCAATCTTGTTTTATTATAAAGGGAGACAATATACCAGTGCTGAGCCTGATGGTCTGAAGTTTGTCGTAGCTCCCGGGTTTTCAAAAGTTCCCAGTCTTTGTTGTGTTAACTGTGTCTCAGTGATCTGCTTATTTAACCACTGTATCACTGAAAGCAGAAAAAAATTAACTGTCATTATTTCTCATGATCTAAACATGGACTATCAACGTAACCAAAAAAATTACAACTGAAAAAAAGAGATATGCTAGCATAAATGATGCATCCCTATAAAGCACATGTATATCTTATCCCTATCCCAATCTTTAATTTATACCATGCACTGTCTACGTCAGAGCAGTATAATACAGAGATTTTATACAAATTATGAAAACTTACCATTCTCATTTGTCTTTAGCAACTGCCTGCTTTCCTCTAGCTTTTGTACTGTAGTTTCTAGGTTATCTGACAACTTCTTAGCCTGAAAAAGAATGCATGGATTTAAGTAGTTTTTCAACCTTGATTCCTTTTTCCCTTGCATAAATCAAATGGACAGTATATTTAATCAACATTTTTTTTCTTTCTTCTACCAATCAAATAAATACCTCATCCTCTTTCTGTCTGAGATTTTCCTTTGTGCTGGCTAGTTCCTGCCTCAGTCGTTCTAGTTCTTGGTCTTTCTCACCCAGTAACTTCTCTTGTTCATTGGCAATCTGACTGCGTAGCTTCACCTGTAAAAAAAAATATGGTTATTATACCATTCATCTAATTGTGTGTAAATCTTAAATTATTTTTTTGTCTGTCTCTAGACATTTTTGTCTCTTTATAGCTTTATCAAATAAAAGAAAAATATTATTATGATGTCAGACTTTAAAAATTTGAATATTTTCTGATATCAGATCTTACTTTAGCATGGTAATTCTTGATCTCCCCTTGAAGTTTCTTGATAATCTCATTCCCTTTCATCAATTCATCAGACATGGCTTTAACTTTATTCTCCAGTTTGTAGTTCTCTTTCTGCTTATGTTCTAGCTCCTCTTCTAAACGAACCTGTTTTATAAAATAATTCAAAGTAAAATTCCAAAGTCTTAAATGAAAATATTTCTAATATGCTTGTTAACTTTTATTTTAATCTGAACTCATGTTGAGGCAACTTATTCTGAACTGATGTTGAATCAACAGATCTATTTATTGGTAACTTTTATTTTAATCTGAACTCATGTTGAGGCAACTTATTCTGAACTGATGTTGAATCAACAGATCTATTTATAAACATGAATACATGGGTTATCTTCTCACATTAAGAGGCAAGAGTTTCAAGTAATTTCATATAAAGTCTGAATTTTCAGTATATAGTAATACTCTTGAACTATGTCATGATTTTGAAGGGTATAGTAATACTCTCCAACTTTGACAATCAGAAGACAGCAATCTACCTTTTTCTGCTGTTCAGAGGTGAGCAGATCAGTGGACTTGACAATAACGATCTCTTTGTCCTTGACCTCCTGTTCAAGGACAGCGACCCTGGTGTTCAGCTGATGGAGTAGTTTCTCCTTCTCGTGGTATTCTCCGTCCAGAGAGGAGTTTTGTTTCCTGAGGCTCTGTAGTTCCTGTTTGACTCGCAGATGCTCTTCTTCAACTGTGGAGAGTTTGGACTTAAGTTCCCTGATGGTGGACTCAGATTTATACTTCCTGTCTGTCAGATCCTATGATAAAAACATTCAATTGATCAGGATCATAAGTTACCCTCCACTAACGCTATTTCTTTTATTTCACATGTTTAATTACATTTTTAGGTATACTGTAAAATCAGTTATCCCGCTTCAAACAAATTTGTAGATTGCTGATTGGATAAAGGCTGATCACATGACGCCCTGAAATTATCCGTATTACGTCGCCGTCAAGGAGTAATATGAAAATCGCGCACACGATTACGTTCGAAGCGTTGCTTTTGTAAATAAAAATGGCTGCCAAAAAAAAACAGTTTACGTAGATAGTTTAGTTAAATTTCTTGTTACCGTAACGATATTTTATGTTGCAATGTTATTGGATTAAAACTTAATATTTTTCATAATATGCACAATTATTTTTTTATATTGCAAAAAGGTCTTCAGCGGGATAAATTCGTAACACAGTCAGTTAGTGACCTATTATGATATAAACATTGAATTGAAATCCATATTGGACTAAGTTACCCTTGCCCAATACAGATTTCCATTTCACACCCTGTTTAATTACATTTTTAGGTCACTAACTGTAAAATCAGATATTTTCGAGGTTTGAAGACAAAATATTGGTTTGTGGGGATTTTGATTTCCTGGTTGGATAACATTTACATGTAGTAGTACTGCTTATGAAATTTTTACATTTCATGGTGGTCTTAAATTTTCCGGTCTCTTCATACCTTGAAAACAATGAAAATTAAACCCCCATGAAAATTAGTGTTTTCACAGTATATTATATTCGGCTAAATCTTCAAATTTTGCTTATATTTTTAGAGCACTCAAGTTTAATGCATATATTACAATCTATAGAGAACACTATAAACTGAATTCTTCAACAAAATTTTTAGCTGTTTAGTATATTTTTTTTAAACAGAAGGCTCACCTTATTGACACCCTCTAGTTCATACAGCCGAGATTCTAACTGCTTCACGATTTTCATGTGGGCCTGCTCCATATCCTTTCTCTCTCTGTCTTGTCTCTGTTGAAAACTGCTCTGCATCTAAAAAAATACAGAAAAATTTCATAGAATCATCAGACCCCTGGAACATAAAACAGATAAACACCCAAGACAAAATCTTAAACAATTTAAAATGTTTACAGATGGTGTATTGGCATGCTAGATTTGCTGAGAACAGCAATTTAAAAAAGCAATCATGAAGACATTGACATTTTCTTTGTGGGTTACTTGAATTCCAAGCCATTTCAGCATGGTGTATATATATATTAGTCTTGGCTCAGGAATACATACACCTAAACCACTATGGGACATTTCTTTTTATCTAATTCTGACTAGTCTTGGTAGATTTCTTGAGCGATCGAGTGTTTTTCCTTTATTTCAACGTAAAAGGTTTGAAATTATTTGTAAAAGGCTAGGGGTTGATGTTTATATGAATAAATCTCTGTGGACCTTACAAAAATCACTTTTTTTTTTTACATTTCATGTTCTACATGGCATTTACATCCTCTGAAGTGTTCATTTTTGCCAGCAGTGGATTCTTAGAGAGACTGTATACCTGAATCGTTTTCTCTTTCTCTGTAGCCATCTCGTGTTTATGTCTTGCTGCCAAGTCATTCATTTTAGCTGTCCATTCCGCCTTTAAATGATCCAGCTCTATGGACTTGCTATTAAGTGCCTGTTCAAAGATATTAACCTGACAAATTACCACTGATTTGTTCATAATATGATAACTATAAATCAAAGGCACAAAATTCAGAAATTATTTGGCAACTTTTGGGTTAAATCAACACAGAAATCTGTAATGCTGACCTCTGTGGTCTGTTGAAGTTTCTGGTTTAAATCTGTGTCTGTGTGCTCCAGTCTTTGTTGTAGTAAGGAATTTGTGTCCTGTAATTTAAGTAGCAACACATTAAAAATCTTTAAACAAAATTTTCATCAATTTGCCCTAATATGTACCAGGGTAGCCTTTCATATGCATGATTTGATGTTGACAGTTTAACTCCTTTTTCTAAACCTAGAGTACAAATACTTGTGTTACTGTGGAATCGTTAATTTTTGTGAGGGACCAATGTTTTTTGGATTTCATGAGTCATCCTTATCCATCAATTTACATCCCCACAAAAAATTATTTTGTCAATGTATGTATTATTTAGAGAACGAGACAGGTTCCTGTGAAGAAATTTGGGGGCAGATTTTTGCCAGCAGAACCTGTAGAGAGATTTGTGACACGATCCAATCAAAATCAGCTCAATCAAAATTAACTCCGCCCACTATGTCAACAAGATGTTGATGTATATTTCATTTCTTTCTGAATCTCTGGTAAATCTTTAAAAAATGAATTCCCATGCCAATTAGGATTCGATGTAAATTTCACTGTATCCGTAGACAGCGTGAGATTTCTAGAAATTTCTAGTGTTTTGTCACATTAGTTTTGGAAAGGACGAGTAGCAAGATGGACGTAGACTTAGAAAATTGTGAAAAAACGCTTGATTTTTTAATTGATGAAGTTGACGACGTTACTTTATCACAGATCTGTGCAGATATGGAAACGGAATACCATGTGTTTGAAGGCATCCAAAATCTAAGTTTTTCTGAAAACTTTAATTTCGATGAAAATGAAGGCCTTGGAGAAAGCGGTTCAAATTTAATGGAGTTCGATATCGGGGATTTATTTTAATGGAAACCGAATGTGAAGTTAAGAAAGAACTGAAAGAGAGCACCAGGTTTGGGCTGTCGTCAATGATGATGAATTGAAATGCCTCGTTGAAAATCAGGAAAACAAAAATACTAAAAGTAATACAAAATGGGCCGTTAAAGTTTTCGAAAGTTGGCGCGAGCAAAGAGCGGGGGACATTATCGAGCTTCACTTAATGGATACGAAATCGATGAACCATTGGCTAGAGCGTTTTATTGTGGAAGCGCGGAAGAAAGACGGGAGTGAATACCCTCCAAAAACGCTGTATCTCATTTTATGTGGACTTTTGAGGCATTTAAGACAAAAAGGTGTCTACGATAAAAATTTTCTAGACGAGAAAGAAATAGCTTTTGTCGGACTAAGAAAAGTTTTAGACGCAAAGATGAAATCACTCGTTGATAGAGGCCTGGGGTGCGAGATCCGGCAAGCTGACCCCATATGGCCCAAAGATGAGGAGAAATTGTGGCAAGAAAATGTTTTTGGGAAAGAAAACAGTGAACAATTACAACACACGATGTTTTTTTATTCATGTAAATTGTTCGGTTTGAGGGCCTGTGATGAGCACCACAAACTGCAATGCGAACAATTTTCTATCGGAAACGATATCCATGGACAATTTATTCAATTTGTTGGTAGAGCATCAAAAACCTACAAAGGCGGATGTGAATTTACAGACAAAGAACCTGAAGCATTACTGTGAGCCTGGTAAGTAAAATTCATATATATTGTATAATGTTACCTTAAGACACTATGCTTTAATTTAGGTTAGCGGATTGGGGGTGGGGGAGGCATTGCTGTGTAAGCCTAATATTTGAAGTAAATATTTATGTATGAAAGTAGCATTTAGAAGATAGAAAATATTTACTAGAATTTGGATATTTTAAAAGACTACCATGTAGTTGTTAGCGGTGATAATCTAATTACTCATAATTAATTATTTTACAGGTGATTTAGCAGAGTATTTCAAATCTATCTTGATGCGCTAGATGGCGCGGGGCCATTTTATAGGCGTCCGCTTCCCGGAACCTCGGAAAAGCGTGTGCGTTACGGGACACAAGTCGTAGGAATAAACAAACTGAAAACTTTCATGAAGTCAATTTCGAAAAAAGGAGGACTGGAAGGGAATTATACGAATCACAGCGGGAAGAAAACCTGCGCTACTCAGTTGTATATAGGAGGTGTACCCGAGGCAGAAATCATGAATGTTACTGGTCATAGGTCAGAACAAGGAGTAAGAAAATACATGAAAAGCAACGTGGAAATGAAGAAAAGCATTTCTAAGATCTTGGATCCACCCATGAAACAGGAATCGCAGGAACCGTCTTCCGAACAGACTACTGGGGGTAAAAGAGCGCTGTCTCCATGTACTACAAATCGTTCCGAAGGTGACGCAAAAAAATTGTGCAGTGAAAGTAATCGTGCTCTGCGGGATTTAACAAACACGGCATCTGTGTTCCAAAATTGCCATTTCAACTTTTCATTTGGATCAAATTAAATGACTGCGTAAAATAGTGCGTGTGGTATTGCATTGAAAGTTAAAAAAAAAGTCCAGAGAGAAGTGTTGTTCACTGTATTGGAATGTGTGTTTTTATTTTTCTAATACGTTTCGTTTGGATAAAAGTGACTGATCAAATGTGATTGGAATAATTATTATATTGATTACATAAGAGCGAAAATTTTACTAGTTTTTTAAGGAAATAATTTTATATGATTCCAAACAGGAAAAAATCGATTTATTTTATTTTGAAAACTATTGAGCAATTAAAATACTGAATGCTTAAAATTGACTTTCTTGGTTTATTTTTAGATCGTTCTGTATTTCAGTTACAGAACGGTTGGTAGGCTAATACAGTACAGAAGATAGCTCCGCCCACTATACTCCTGTACTGTATTGCTAATACAGAACAGTAAACTTCAAAGAAAAACACCGCTATCGTGTCACAATTATTCCTTGAATTTTCTGTATATACAAGTTACCCACAAAATTACATCCCTTACAAAATTATTCTTATCCAAGAAAATGGCGACAAATTGAAATGATTCCATACTATTAGAAGTATTAGGGAACACACAGGTTGCTGTTAGTTTCCTAAAAGCATTAACTAATTACCTTTAGCTGTTTCAGACAATCAGCCAGGTATTTCTTAATGTCGGAGTCCGTCCCTGGTATAAACTTCAGACTAAGGTGAGTCAGGTGTTTGAATGGGTTGGTTTCTATCACATTCAATGTACATGTCGTCCTCTCTCCATTAAAGGAACCCTGGGAGATGAAGTGTAAAATAAATCTGGAAAAAGAAAATTTACTTAGATATTAATACTTAATAGTAAGCATGACTATGACATGTTGATATGTTATCTGATTCAATAACTCACGAATTTCAAATCCAAATATATTTCATAACTACATGCACTAACTTGAAAATACATGTATTACAGCTGAACTTCCTTATCTTGAATGCTGATATCTTAAATATCATGGATATGTTGAACTGCTTTGGAAGTTCCAACCACTTACTCTTTAAGTATTTTAATCTTGATATCTCAAACTTTGAGCATCGCAGATTTTTTTCTTTGTCCCAGGAAGTCAAAATAACAAGAGTTGAGCACACTACGACTCTTCTTTTTATGTCTTCTTAATAAAATGTTTACAATTCAATGTCATTAAAATTTGGAATATATCCCCGTGTTTCTTACTTTGGAACCTCTTTGTGCTCTTCTCTTAAACACATGTCCAGTAGATCTATAAATTTCTGTGGAAACTGTGCAAAGTCCACCAATAACCCTTGTTGTGTTTTTAAGCTGAAATTTCAATTATATACAATTTTTAAAATAGGGATTTTTTACAAAGAGACATACTAACAAACAAAATTGTTTTTTTTGATAAAAATCTTATAAGTTAAAATGTGAATTACCTTTGGAAATCTTCTTCTCCCAGCCTTAATGTGTACAAGAAAAACAGATCTCGATCATCTGTCAATCTGACCACCAGTTCCTGAAAATTTTAACAGCAAATTACTGACATGCATGTAAAAAAAAAATTATGGTTCATTTGAAAAAAAAATAATTAAGACTTAAATGATTAGTATAGAATCCTACAGAGTGGGACAGTCACAGGGCTCTCAAAATTCTTCAACAAACATTTCCTCATGGTCAAATAATTATATATTGCAAGCATTTCTAAATCACGGTACTGGTATAAATGAAACATGAAGAAAGGACCACACTTGGACATCTTTGGTTGTGAGAACTGTTCATTTTTTTTATTTCTCACGGAAGTAAATATACATCAACCAAATTAATTTCGAAATTGAATTGTTAAAAGGTTCTAAAATTGAACTGTTTTTCAAGACCAATTCTTATTAAGAACTAAAGTGTACTGTACCTTTTTATGTAAAGGAGAAGATAAGGTCTGCAGTTCCATTTTCAACTGGACATGTTCTCGTCTGAAATAAAATAAATAAAATTGAATTAATTTAAAATCAGGTCATCATTTAATGCATTTCATGTAATGTACCCTTGCATGAATTATATCAGCTGACTAGAAGTAACACATACATTACAAACTATTAGTTTAAAAAATCACAAAATCTAGATAATTAAATTTCATTGTACAGCATTTTGTTGAATGGAGTTTTAAATCAATGCAGGAATGTTCCACTTGTGTATAATCAAACCCAAAAGAATTTCCATTACATATATGATATATATACATTTTTACGAATACATTTGTATCCATTACACCTAATTGCTGACTTCCCCTTTACTCTTCCATGGATCAAAATGTTATACTTATACTGGGAAATATTTAAAACACATCCAATAAAACATTGCAATATTCTATATTTTTCAAAGAGAGTGGTATAACCCTCCACAAATGTCATAAAGAGTTAAGGATATGAGAAACTTATCTTCATCAAAATATTGAAATTCAAAATTCATGATTTTCCAATCTCAACGTGAGCACATGCAAGGGAAATCCAAGTAATAGTAAATTATATATATATATATTTAAAAATTGTATAAATATATATTTTGAAAATGACATACAAATTTTTACTATTAAAGTTTGAGCTGTTTTCCATTTGTTGACATTGTAAATGATGCTATGCCAATGTAAATAACATATTCCTGGTAAGTAGTACTAAAGGGTAATATATATATATATCTATACGCCTGCCGTTTTATTTTTTCACTTAAGTTATATTTTATTATATGAACTATTTTAATAGACAACTGAATATTGAGGTCGGGCTACTAAACATGCCTTTAAACTTGCCCTGCAGGACTACTGTAAATTTTACCAAACACTCACTCAGAGCAACAAAAATAATCATACCGTAACTTAAACACAATTTAACTGATCATTGTTAGATTTATTTACAAACATGTTTTATCGTCATACTTCATAGAGTGACAATTTTTATCCAAAATACAGCTAGAATGCAGGATTTGGCATCTCTATTTTAAAAATTTCCCAGGGGAGGCCCCTAACTAGCAGGAGGGGGAACCCCCTGCATGTCACTTCGCGATTTGGCCACCAGCCTTCGGCTGCTGGACAACTGATACATGAACAGGGCTAGTGGAAATTAGAAATGGCTAGCCCTGCTGACAACTATGGTTTTAAAGTTAGTGTCGATCCCTGGGTCTGTGAAAGTAATACATCAAACAAAAAACAAATTAATTCAAGAAATAAAACGGCAGGCGTATATATTTTCTCGGCAGGTGTATTTTCCCCTGGCAGGCGTCGGCAGGCGTATTTTAGTATGACCGGTACTAAATCCTTACCCCCTTATATTTCTTCTGTAGGGGAAAGAGTGTGTCACATTTCTCAGTATACCTCTTGTGGATAATCTCTCTAAATACATAATCAACAGTCAGCAGAACAAATTCTGGAAGATCATTTGCTTCAATCTTACCTGTCCTCGCGATCAGGAGACTTGAATAAAACCGGAAGCCTCTTGGTGTATAATTCATCTGCCATTGTGTTAATTCGGTACCAAAAAGTTTTTGCACATCAACCTTACATCATTTAGCAGATCTATATTTTGTCGACAGATCCCCTATGGCATGCGCATACACCGAGTGCAAATTTACCAATGCGATCTGTTTAAATCTGATTTGTTTGTACTTGTTTGTGACCATTCAAGCAACCCGCGTTTATTGCAGTTTTGGAAACATAAATTTTACAAAATGATTTTGATGTGGTGATCAAAAACACAGAAAAAAACTTATAGAATAGCATTTTATAAAATAAATTGAATTTATGGGTATTTTTTAAGCTCTTTTACAAGTAAGCCCGATAAAATAGATGTATTGTAGACGTATCGCTTTGTTATTTTTGTAAATAAATCTTAAATTTGATGTGACCGCACGTGAAAAAACAAAAAAACAAACAAAAAACAGAGACTCCAGCGTTTGTGAAAAAAGAGAGTTTGCATCAGAGAACATTCTTTGACAGGTATTTATTTTAAGATAAATCAATCTTTTGATTCATATTCTGACTACTTTTAAATGTAATTTGCATTAACTATTTTAATTAGCCCGGTATCATACATGTTAACCTACTGTGATGAAAAATAGGGAGATTGGGGCCACAAAAGCGGTAGCATTGCGCGCGCGTTGTTTTACGCTTGGATTTACGAAGATATGTTGCGTGTAATATACATGTTTGACCTTAAATGAAAATACTATAATCAATCTTAAATATTTATTGCAAAGAAATAGACAGCAACACATTGAGTTTGACATAAATTAGCTATGGAACATGATTTTTAAAAGCACTTCTCAGATTAAAAAACAATGCTTTATATTTAAGAGCCTTCAAAACCATTTCCAAAACAGTTTCATTTTTTAAAATCGGTTGAAAAATAAAGAAGTTATGATAATTTTTGTTTTTATGTTTTCACATGACTTGAAACAAAAATTGTTGCCATTTAAAAAAAAAATCAAAGGGACAAAATCTATTAAGCTGCTGTTCTTCATTTTATGCAAAGTTCCTTACAATAACTACATAAACAAAAAAATATGTATTTAGATTGTTTCCTATTGTATATTATATATTTATAACATGAAAATCAAATATTGTACGGTTGCCAGAACTTTTAAGTTTGAAATGTAGTAACCGTTTTCACCTTCTTTTTCATTCTATGCGAGATAGAAACTTAAAACATATCATGATCAGATATTTTGTAATTACATGATTTATTTGTATTCATGTTCAAGAAGATAAATGACTCAATTCTAAGTCCAATAATTTCTCATTAACCTACTTTAAATATACACTACATATGTTGTTCCTCTGATAGTCTGTTATGTGCAAAGTTCTCCTTGATTAATTGCACTGTAATTTCTAAATTAAATTTGAATTATTGTTGATATATTTTTATGAAGTAAATTAAATTGATCTGTACTAGTGTAGTTTGATATGGATTAGCTTGGCTTGAAAAGGGGGGGGGGGTGTAACGCTCTTCATGTGTAAATGGAATTATCAAGTAACTTATCATTTCTTGAGTGTGTATATGTGTATTTAGAAGACTATCTGTAATTTTCAATGAAATTCAATATAAAAAGTGAAAAGCCGACACTGTTATATGCTGAATACCCCCCCCCCCTTCTGGTATGATCATCACCATTGTACGTCACCTAACACAGTCAAATAAACTAAATTGTTGAAAGCAAGATATTCACATGGTGTGTGACCATTTTGCACCCTGCAGTTTAATAGGATCCTGACAGCAAAGGGTAAATAACCTTATCAGGCTAAAATAGTCCATGTCATAAAACATGATTTGGTGTTGAATACAAGGATTTAAAATAATTTTTAAGTAAAATTCTCATAGAAATTACTTTACTGTTTCATAAAAATCGGGTCTTTTGGGTGTATATTCTGAAATTCATTTTTTTCTCGAGAAAGAAATATTTCATTATTATTTTTCTCCCATGAAAATGATGCAGTTAATTGATTTTCATCGATATACACTTGCAGTAATACTTCAAAAAGGTTTCAGAAATACTTTCAAGACTCTACATGTCATCGTCTCACTGTATAAGTCCTAGCTGCAATAATGTAGCCCTCTCCGATTTTTTTATCTGATATTTTCTGGAGAGGGCTACAATTCCATCGCATCTCGGTAATGGTGCAAATATATTTTTTTGATACGGGTGATTGGAGGCAAAATAAATTATTTTTACATTAAACTTACTTCTTATAAGACAGAATTTTTATTCACTGTCAACAACATAGCCTGTTAAACTCGAAAACCATGTTAAATAAATCTGTGTCTTTCCCAGCTGCAGCCATGACAGTTCACGCGTGACGTACTGAGACTTTCGCTTGAAATTTTGAACAACCAAATAAAGCAAATGTCGATGTTTATAAACGATTGTGCTATAATATATTACAAAAACATCGATAAATAAAACCATTTCAAGTGTTATTTTTGTGCAAACAGCGATACGTATGCTTAAAATAAGGGAATTCCTAGTAGATCCGTTCCTATAGAACCTAAATTCTCATTGGCTGTCCCAAAATACAATCCATCAAGGTCAGTAAACATGGCGGATAAATTCAAGTTAAGCTGTTGACACACACGAAAATTAATCGATATATGGGTCGTTGTGAATATTTTTGGATCGATTTATGTTTTGCATAATTACATATTTGGATTCCAGGTAAGAGATAATAATAAAATAGCCGTTTACTGATAATTTGAGCCGAAATCCGTGCGGGAGTGATCCACTGCCGCATCTGCACCATTATAGAGATCCTAAGGAGTTGTAGCCCTCTCCCATAAAAAAAAAAAAAAAAAAAAATCAGAGAGGGCTACATTATTGCAGCTATATAAGTCCGTAACACACGACCACCCTATTGTTTATTATACCCCCCGCTTGAAAAGCGGGAGGGTATATAGTAATCGTTAATTCCGTCCGTCCGTCCGTCTGTTACGCTTTGGGGTACACATCTCTTATCCGCAACTCCTCTTATACCACTGGATGAAATTTGATGAAACTTTCACAGAATCTTTATTACATATTGCCATTGTGCACCTCCTATTTTACTTTTTGATCCGACACATATTTTGGGTTTTCCATAGCAAAACATGGACACATATGGGAGGCGGGGGGTATAATTTAGTGAGCCCATGCTCACAGTACCTCTAGTTTTTTACACCATTTTTTGACAACAAAATTTTGTCAAATTTTGGAGTTATTGCCCTTTGCTTTTCCATTGCTACATAAATTATATATATTCAAATATTTTTTTTATGTTCGTCATTTTGCTTCGATTGGCTACTTAACTTAGCTTTTTGAAGAGTGATCTTTGCTGAAATAGCCTAGAAGCAATAATTCTGAATGTTCATTCAGTTGTCAAACACAACAAATGAGGATAAATTTAATATAGATCTAAAACTAGTCCTCTCTTTCGTTAAATAAATTGGATTTCCCGCGATGATCGAAAACGAAAGTAGAGAAGTGCCTCATGACTTGGTCAGTCGAATGATTTCTATTGACTTAATTGATAAAATTGCGAGCTCCTGTGCTTTTAACAATGTTTAATGATGATATCAAACTTTTTCATCCAATTCTAAAATGCTGTATCTCCTTTTTTATGGCAGTAATGTCGACGAAATTTATCGTGACCAATGTAATCACTGATTTTTGTGCTGTTGTCGTTGTCAAATACGTGCTTGAAATCTGTGTACACATCGGTACAAAAAAAGCGTTTGTATGATTCCGGGTCAAATCACACGATATCTAACGAGATTTCATGATGAGTGGCTTCAAAAATGGATACCCAAGCGAACCAAAAATACTTAAGACAAAAGTTTTGTAGAAAAGCGGTAGATTTACGAATGAAATCGGTACTTTCGGTAGGCGGGAGATGAAGTGAAAAAGCGGTAGACTCCCGCCTAAATCGGTAGAGTTAACATGTATGCCGGTATACAGGGGGACACGTACAGTAATGAGCCTGTTGGATTTTCTTCCAATAATGTGTAGGATTACTCCTATAAACCTGTCTAAAGACTAAGGTATTTATATATATGTCATCTGTCTAATAATAAATTGCGTTACAATTTATAGACTGGCATATTTCTGCAACATACAAGTTATCTTACAAAACTTTGAGGTATTAAACTGAACTCCTCTCTAAAGAGCCACGTATGAAAGATGGAAAATATATAGTTACTTAATAAAACAATCAAATTGTGCCCAAGAAATTCACCCACCATATAGATAGAATGTGTCCCATATTCTTGCATTTACCATGCAGTTAATTGACTTGATTTCTCTGGCTTGATTTCTATAAAAAAAATTAAAATGAATTGCACTGAAACTTACCACCAAAGCAATCAAAACAAACCTTTTTGAGGAAAAGGAGAAATTTTTCAGTGTCTTTTTTTGCTACAATTTACAAATCAGGTTGATATTTTGAAACCCTCTGCATTGCTAATTCATAAACTAAACATGACACACAAATAGGCATAAGCCATTTTTGATATGATGATCTATAATAACAGCATCAGGGTACTGCAGTTATGTGTATGTAATGGACCTGAGCTGCTTGGATCTCACGCACAAGTACTTTAAATACCTACGCGGGAATAACCCATGTAGTATTCTGATGATTAACGAGAATAACCCGTAAGTAAAGATCTCCTATAATAACACAAGAATAACCTGTGTTTGGACTCATAAATAAAACTACGGGGAAGTTAAATGAAAAGCCTTATTTAAAGTTTACAAATTTATTCAATGAATAAAAGTCACAATATGTATTAATTAATATTCAATTACAATAAAATTCACTGTAAGTCGGGAATCACCCAATTGCACAGTGAAATACTACACTAACAGTAACACAACCTTCGTATTACGTTAATACGATAAAGGGGGGGGGGGCGCACTAAATGAGAATGACCCAAATAGTGAATAATAAATACTATAGAAATACCTTAGAATAACCAAAGTATTTCAGAACGAATCTACACAAACTATAAAAGCTATTTAAAGCAAGAAATTTATCTCTATAATTTCTATATCAAATCCTAGCCTTAATTCCTGCTTGAATATTCCTATTAACGCAACTAGATTATCTTTTTAAATTGATTGAATTCCTAAAATCTATCAAAGATAAACAATTATTTACATGGAAAGACTTCAAGACTCACTTTCAGGCAAACCGTAACAAAATTATTTAATCGCTTAATATCGAGATTAACCCAATATAAACGTCCTAAGATAAATACTAGTAATTAATAGTGATACGAGATTAACCCGTGATCACTATAAGAAAAATTGATGAATTAATTCAAAAATTACTTAATTCCTACTGAAAAATTCTAATAATCTAATAAAACACCCTCTAACCTCAAAATCCTAACACCGAGTCCCACAGGCAATTCTTATCCTCTGCTTATATAGCTCTGGAGAGTCCCCCCAGAGACACACGCGCTTCCCAAGGGATGACCGGCAGATCTCCGGTACCACCGGCAGCCACCGGCAATAATCATTGTCAAATGATGTTTAACAATAACAATAGATAATCAATATAAAAATATGACAATCATAATGTAAAACATTTATACAATATAACTATATCCTATAAATATTAGATTTCGATAAAAATGCTTAGTACAGAGAAATTACAATTAGAATCGGGCGTGATATTCCACAAATTAATCATCATGATGGCGGTATCTATAAATAAAGTTACAGAGTTAGAAACGATATTTACAACAAATCCAGCGTATTACAATACTGATATTAATCCAGGATAATAAAATTATAATCATAAGATTTTGTTCTTCTAGATACGTAAGTACAGTGAATCATAATAAGAAATTTAACCGATTATGCGATCTACAAACACAATGTACAGTGTAACACGAATTCTCTCTAAAACGATTGGCATCATTGTCACAATCGTGACATGTATTTGTGTTTGTTTGTATACTGCACTGACCTTTGCAACTGTTTTAAGTCAGTAGCTATTTTTTGTTGCTACAAAGTGTTGTACAACATACATCTGTCTGCATTTGTGACGATTTATTACACCGAACAGTGACCATGTAAGTGGCTCTATATATAGGGGCCCTCAGATATAGCAAGAGACCAATCAAATATGGCAGACAAATTCTTTTTTACTATTTTTAGCTCACCTGAGCTGAAGGCTCAAGTGAGCTTTTCTGATCAAAATTTGTCCGTTGTCTTTTGTCGTTGTTGTCGTCAGCGTCGTTGTCATTGGCGTTGTTGTGGGCGTCGTTAACTTTTCACATTTTCGACTTCATCTCAAGAACCACTGGGCCAATTTCAACCAAACTTGGCACAAAGTATACTTAGGTGAAGGGGATTCAAGTTTGTTCAAATAAAGGGCCATCCCCTGCGAAATGATATTCATGATTTTAAGAACCTTTATGAGTTGTTCATAATTGTTCATGAATGGTTCTTAAAGGATTCTTAACAGGTTCATAAAAGCTGTTCATGAATAAAATTCATGAAAACATTCATAATTAATAGTTCATGAACAAATGATGAACAAATATGAATATTGTTAATTTTCAGTTTAAAGAAAAAAACTTAATAGTTCAAGGTAATGAATGTTCATGAATTTTCATGAAGACAAAAAATGTAAAAATAATTGTCACAAACGATCGCTAGAATACACTCATTACTCCCATAATACAACTTTTGCATGCAGATGCAATTGTTGAACAAGACCCTGATTTAATTAATAACATGCTTTTGTTTTGATTTTGAAAGTATTGGATCAGAGACAAATAGGAGAACATAAGAGGTTAAAATCACTATTTTCTACTTTCCGAATCGGTAACTTAGATATTCAGGATAATAAAACTCTGTTATGTACTGTCTAGAAGGGAGATTGTAATTAAATTATGATCGTAATTTAAAGAACACTGCATCAATATTGACAGCATTTTTTTCTCATATTGAATTACTAATGTTTCTTCATCATTTAAAATGGCCAGCTATATTAATATTGTGCTTTAAATTATCTCATTTTTCACGACACAACTTTGTTCGACCGAATTTTCTCTATTTGTCAAACTTTTAACAAGTTGTAAGAAAATGAAACAGACTTACAGTCTAGGAAAAATTTCATAATCTTCGTAAAAACGTATCATAGATTTATTGACAGCTAAAAAATCATATCTCTTGTCCGTACTATTCTTGGGTCAAACGCTATATATTTTGATGCAGTTATCAAGTCGCTCATTTTTCTGTACATCGTGTGTAAATGATACAGCACAGGCTGCATGGTTGTGAAGTATCTATGACATGATCAACATTCGTATTTTGTAGTCTATTCTCCTATACACTTTCATAGCTCAGGGTATTCTGTTTGAGGGCGAGTGGTTCCCAAGATTTATTTGTTGTCCTCTTGATATGGAGGCGGCCATACTTGAAAATACGAAACTGTGGCTCTACAGGTATAATGTAAAAAAATCCAATTCAATAAATGATATAACTTATATTAATTTAAAAAAAATTAATTTCAGTGAAAAATCATTCAGATAGTGTTTGTTATTTTTTTGTTTAACAACAATCTTGTCAATTCGAAACTATTTCTTAATTAGCTCTGCATGACACTTTTTAAAAGGCGCAAACTTTGAAAGGCGCGAGACGTTGGAAAGTGAATCGGTAGAGTTGGAGGATTATTAGCGTATATCTAGTCATTCTTTGTCAACCTTTGAAGAAAATAACAGAATACGAAGAAGGAATATCCAGAGGATCAATTTACTTCATAACTGCAGATATTAATGGTGAGTTACAAAAAAATGGAGGCAATCGCTGAATCTGTGAGATATTTGTCAAGATGTTACTGACTATTTGTAAGAGTTCAGTTATGTCTTTTTTAATGATAATTTTGTCAAACTTTGTTATGAGTAAGGATTCAACCAAATTACGTAACATTTAATAAATAAAGATTGAAAAATTCATCCTGTTCACCTATAACATCTTGAATATGGCGGGCAAGGGAAACTGGCTAAACTACCGCTCAGAATGCTTTAAAATATGGCAGTGCCTATGATGCAGAATTAAATGAAACAAATATGCAAAAAAAAAAAAATTAAGTCTTAAGTTTTCACATTTATGAGCATTTTCAGAAAATCTTTGTTCTTGTAGGGAAAAGAAAAGCAGTTCACAGATAATGTTGATGAGTTGAGATCAGAAGATTAAAAAAACTCTGGCTGCCAAAAAAAAAAAATCCAGGATCTTGAAGAAAAACAAAAGAAAGGAATGAAAATATGAATCGTAATCGATCAAAGTATCCAAGTGATGAAATTCTGAAAATTCCACAGGGAAAGCCAATAAGATTTTTTTTATTTGACCACCTCTTCTCAAAATCCTTGAAAGCCCTTTTAGCTGATGCCCTAATTGCTGAACACACTTTCCTGCCAGACAGTACTGAGACTTGGATTAAAAATCATTCCATTTTAGGCATAACGTTACACTTTGAAATACGCTGAATAAGGAACCCAGACTCCTCTTGACCAAGTAAGGTTAAGGATTCTGCAAAGAGTCGCGTTTGAATTAAATTTTTCATAATTTTACTAGGAATGAACTACATAATTTATTTATTATCGATATCACTTATCAGAGTTGTTTACTTGAACAAAGACTTTGTTACCATGATTGGAAAACAAAAATTCTGTGAAATCTTTCAAGATGCTATTAAAATATTTTCTTTTACAGTTTTTCATTTTGCATAATTTATTACATTTTTGTTTACAAAAAGCAAGAACATTCATGAATAGTTCATGAACATTCCTAAATAACTTTTACAAATTATTCATGAATAGTTCATGAAAATGCATTGAACCTATTAATATCATTCATGAACTTTTCTTGAAAGTTCAAGAATATAATTCATGAACTTTTCTTGAAAGTTCAAGAATTATTCTTGATCATTTTGCAGGCAATTAAAAAATCCAAGTTTGTTCATGAACAACAAATAATTCTTGAATATTCTTGAACTTGGTTTTCATGAATAAAATCCATGAAATCATGAGTGTCCAATTTTAACTTCATGGGATCTTCATGAACAATTCATGAGCTGATTCAAGAATATAATTCATGAACTTTTCTTAAAAGTTCAAGAATTATTCTTGATCATTTCGCAGGGGTTCCTCTTAATTTATAGAAATTTATAGGAAAATTCTTTAAAAATCTTCTTCTCAAGAATCACTGGGCCAGGAAAGCTGAAATGTATGGGCAAGCATCCTCAGGTAGTATAGATTCAAATTTGTTCAAATCATGACCCCCGGGGGTAGGGTGGGGCCACAGTGGGCGATCAAAATTTTACATATTAATATATAGGAAAATTCTTTAAAAAAATCTTCTCAAGAATAGCAAAGGCATGAATGATCATATTTTTATGGAAGCATCTTCAGGTAGTGGACATTCAATTTTGTTAAAATCATGACCCCTGGGGGTAGGGCGGGGCCATAACATGGAATCCAAGTTTTACAAAGAAACATGTAGAAAAAATTGTTTAAAAATCTTTTCAATGATTAGTCCTATTCATATGGAAGCATTTTCAGGTAGTGTAGATTCAATTTGTTTAAGTCATGACTCCAGGGGGTAGGGCGGGGCCACAATGTAAGTTCAAATGTAAAGGGCAATAAAGCCACAGGTACTCAAAGAAATATGCAAGCATCCTTAGTTAGTGTAGATTCAAGTTTGTTCAAATTATACCCTCTCCCTTTTAAGGATTGGTTTGGACCACTACTAGGTTTAAACTTTTCAATAATAAACTGATTTCTGCTTTTTTCCTAGCCACAATGCTCAGGTGAGCGATGTGGCCCATGGGCCTCTTGTTTTATCCTGCAACTACTTCTTGCATTGACGTAATATAGGTAACCTAATAAACCAAAGCTTTATCCGGTCACTGCCCTAATAAAGCTTAGTGCATGTATTCTGACATTCTAAAAGCATTGTGACATCATGTATATTGCAATGTTTACGCCATGGCGTCATAGTTTCAACTGCAGAGATGTGCCTAAATCTGTCAAAAATAGCTAGATTTGGATGTTCAAATGTAAAAAATATTGCAGGATAAACAAAATACATGATAATTGTCTTTAAATATAAGCGATATTTTGGCTCAGGTCGAAAATGTAAGAGGGCTCGGCAAGCCTGGCCCTCTATCACGTTTTCTTACCCTCGCCCAAATATCGCATATATTTCAAGACAGTAACCATGTATTTTATATTTATTGCAATGATGTTGGATGTATCAATTAAAAACAATCAACAACCATATTTATTGTTTTCAGGAATGCTCCATGTAATGGCCAATAGTACTAGCAGAATGGCAGAAGTTACCTCTGTACATTCACCAGGATCTTCGAGTCATTCATCCATATTAAGTCCATTTTCAAAGAGTTTAAAATCAATCAGCCAGCAACTCACATCTGATGATTTCTCAACTCTGAAGCTTATCTTGCAGTCAGAGAACCTGCTGAAAAAACAGACCCTTGACAATCTGAAAAATCCTCAGGAATTATTACGAGTTCTGCTCGGGAGACATTTAGTGTCTCAAGAAAACACAAGTCTACTCGAGTCCCATTTGAAAGAAATAGGTCGCAGTGACCTAGCTAAATTGCTGCCTAGTGCTGAATTGTGTCAAGATGGCAATGAATGTCTACAAGATGGATATTCAAATTCACAAAACTCACAAATGAGCATAGATGATGAGGAGGAAGATGATGATGAAATAATGTTATCTCAAAACAGTTTGTCAGACGAGGAGAAACTGCTCCTCAAAAAAGTAGCAGAGTGAACAAGTCAAGTCATCATCATGTACTCCTGTAATGGCCAACAAGCCTCAAAACCTGAAAGACATTTTGTTTTCTTTATCATTTTTGGTGTAATTTGCAGAGTGAATAAAGTTCAAGAATGTGAGGAATATTTTTTTAGTGTAAGTGTGTCATTTGATCAAATACTCAAAAGCTCATTTTTGATGCAACTTTTCATTTCAGTTTTGTCATTATAAATACAAAACTGTGTTATAAACAAATTAGTCACTAAGTAGACCTAAGAGATGTTATTGTTTGAAAGGTTATATAGCCTGGCAAAGGAAGGTTGATCCATGAAATGGGTTGTGAATTTAATTAATGAATCTATAAAAAAAAAAAGATAGGCACTTTGAAATTTTTTTCTATATATATATGTAACCGAGCAGCAAGGTTTAAAGTTTAAGTTTGCTCATGGTCAGACAATTTGAGCTGCAAAATAGTTCCATTATAGCTTAAAACAAAAGATAGGAAGATTAGTTAGTTTAAGATATTTTTCCTCCCAAATTGCAGTGAGACATGAGCATTTAGTCCCTGTGACATTTTTATATTAACATTGAAAATTTGAAACAAACATTTTCATTTTTCTTTCAGTGTTTTCATGAAATTCTGAACAAACATCAAAACAAGAGATATTTTGTATATATTTTTATCGCTTTTCATTATTCATTCATCATTGTCTTACTCACTAAAAAAATACAGGGTTTTCATTTAATCCAGTGCATATTTTGTTTTGGTCAGCATTTGTAAATGCATGAACAATCTTTTTGATATCTATGTTTAATTTTATAGCAATATACATGATATTTTGTCCTACAGTATTACCATAATAATGACATAATTACAAGTACTCAATGAAGTGTTCAAAATTATTTTTTTTAAGTTCTCTGTTGTTAGTTATATCCATTTAATAGAATCATGCAGATAAAACATAGCAATCAGAAATCATAAATAAATTATTTTGTTTTCATAGTATTTTCAGTTTTCTTACAATTTTCTTATATGGCATGTTTTAATGCTGCATGTACATTCACTGCCAATGTTTTGTGTTCAAAAAATTATAAGCTCAAGTACACTCATAATATAATCAGTTCACTTGGTGCATTTTTGTTCATAGTTTCCATAGTTTCAAGCCTTGCTTGTAAATCTTTGTTTTCAATGTAGCCTAGACAAAGTTTACGGATGTTGAAAAAGAATATCAAAGATTTATTTAAATGTGATATTGACAGCCAAAATGGCCAATAACTTGTTTGTACACATATACAGGATCAAATTCTATCAAATATCTGTTTCTCAGATGCAGTTTGATCTATACTTTAGTTTAGTTAGCAATTTAAGGACTGAAAGGCCTGATATTAATGACATAAAGTTAGAATTTTGATACAGCGGGTGAACAGTTTGTAAATATATTACAGTGTTTACATAATTTTGTTGCTTTATTTTTCTGTTGCGTGTAAATAGCATTTTTTGAGTTTTATTGCAATTTCGTTGCTTTATTTTTCTGTTGGTATCGAATTGCTATTTCAAGTTTAAAATCAAACACAATTCAAAATTTGGTTTGATGTAAAGTAAATTGATATTCTTTTTCTTGTATGCCAAAGTTTAAGTTTTGAGATTATCACCTTTTTTGAATTTTTTTTTGCAAATAAAGTGCCTAATTGAGTTTTGAGACCTGATTGTTTTTTTTTTTAAGAAAGCAAGAAAAAAGTTATTCATTAACTTTGGATGTGTAAAAAATAAAGAAGACCAGGGTTTTTGTTTTGAATTAACTGCTGAACATTATAATCACATCAGTATTAAGAGAATATAAATGCTTGATAAACCTTACTTTATGTATATAAAAAAGAACAAGATGTGCTTGTGCAACATTGATGTCCCCCATTTGTCAGACAGCTCAGATTTTGTCAAATGTTGGCCAAACTCCAGTGTCAAGGTCAAGAATAAAAAATATGGTACCCAAAGAGATCTTTTTACAAGAAATGCACTTGTGAAACATGAAAGCCAACCATTCAGATAATATGACAAAGGATTTTTTTTCAAAAGTAAGTCATGCTTCAAGGTCAAGAGGTCAGATATTGGTTCTAAAAGGAAGGATATGAAAGCCCTGGCATCAATCATTCAAAAGTTAGGCCCAAAGTTTATTTTGTTTCCAAAAAAGGTCTAAAGGTACAAAATGTTGGTATGTAAAGAATTATCTGGTCAAATGGAAAACATGAGATATAAAAGTTCTGAAAGCAATATTTCAAAAGTTATGGACACGACACGTTACAAACGTAGGTTAAATTTCATTGTCAACAGGTAAATAATGATTTTGTCACAAGGAATAAGTGAAATATACGAGGCGCCATTTTGGTATTTACTGGCAAAAGGTGAAATCACCTATTCGAAATAGTGATATCACCTATTCAGATTTTGAATAGATGATATCACTATTATTCGAAATAGGTGATATGACCTATTCGAATAGGTGATATCACCCTTTGCAAGTAAATACAAAAATGACGCCTCATAGAAATATGAAAGTCTAATAGAGCGAACCATTCAAAAGTTATGGATGAGGTTCAAGTTTTTGCGGACAAACTACTGTACCTTATATGTTTCAGGCAATACATGGTCTTCTCTTAGGTTTTGGCAATTTCAATGAGTGCCTTAAAATTTAGATATGAAAATGATATATGCACGAATGTTCCCCTTAATATATGCACGTAGCATCATGGCAGTATTTTTTTTTTTATCCACACTTAACCTTTTACTAGTAACAAATACAAAGACTTGTGGTCCCCTACTTTGGGTGTCTTTCTGGGTAAGATTTCATTATTTATGGCACAATGCATCAAATATGAACGCCCTATCATATGTCATTCAAAAGTAATCAACAAAGTCAAAATTCATAGTGTATTTAGAAAGGTCTTGTCACAGGTGATACACATGTGTAGTATGAAAATCATATCTGTTCAAATTAAAAAAAATGACCAAAGTTAAAGTTTTTTTGACAGACAAACTGACAAACAAATTTAATGTGATTAAATGTCCCCTCGCTTTTGCGAAAGCGGGGGAAAATATGAAAATTGAGAGGCTGCATGATGAACACTCGATCCACACACACATTTTGTCGCAGTATAATTGATTAAATGTTATGTAGTAATGTATGAAAAACTGTTATTGAAAGAAATTCGTGGACCCCCCCCCCCCTCCCCTCCTTTCTTATTTTCCTCTTCATTTTTTTCGTTCGGGTAAGTTGTTTTTTTCTTTGGTTGCCCCCTTTCAATTACGCCATATTATATAATTTCCCCCCCGGGGGGGGGGGGGGGCTGCATGTGGATTTATTCATACTTTGAAGATTTAGCTGTTTTATATGCATTTCCAATAAACAGAGCTGTCCTTGATTTGAATGGACTAATTGTGACTACATTCAGATTTTGGTATCGGTTGAATTCATGCATAGCAACTTTTTTTCCTTGATCCGCGCCTTTCAAATGATTGACATATTTCATAATTAAAAAAAAAATCTTGATCAAATTGAGAAATAGATAGCATTTTTTCTAATTACGTTTTCTGAATGCTATGTTTCGTATTAAAAATGATATTTCTGTGAAAGATTATCAAAATATCAATAATTTTAACCCCCATCGGACAAATAGCGATCACTCCCCCAAAATCCCCCCTTTGGGACCCCTATTCACGCTGATGCGGAAACGCAATCCATACAGCGAGAAGCATCTCACTAACATTCGTAAGCAGTTTTCGTATTAACTTACAAAATGGACGTCAAGAATATGCAGTTTTTCTTAATTGCGTTAGTGACTTTGTGTCTGACATTCTTACTTCAAAAAAGTGAGTACATTTTACATTTCACACAGTCACGGAAAAATGTATTATCCAGTTTGAAAATTTTATGTCTGTTCTTGGTACATTTTGCCCCAAAAATACAGCACGTGCATTTCACGACCTCTATGAAGGATACAATGTGTCGGAGAATGGGGATTAGGGGGAAATCGATTTTTATCTAAATGATGAGACAAAGAATGTAATCCAACTTAATGCGTTGTTATCTGTTCTTTGATGTCGAAGATAATACGAACATTCTTCACTGATATAATTTGAAACAATATCATGCTATTGTTCTCATGTGAAGCTTTAAAAAATTTTGAATTCAAAATAAAAGAATTTTATCCCAACATCAAGATAAAGTTGTTTTAAAAATTACAACGCAATATGGGTCAATAATATACATGTATTCTTAAGCTAACTTTTGTTTATTTGCAGCAAGTGCGATTGAATGTTTTGAATGCAACTCATTATACCAGGCGCAATGCAAGGATTCCCCTGGGTCACTTATGTCGAATCCACAATATTATAAAAACTGCTCATCTGATAGCTATAGATGTAGGAAGATTCAACAAGAGGGTAAGATACGATTTCCTACTTTGTGAATCATGGCCAGTGTGTATATGTGTTTGTATTAATCTCTATCAATCGTGAAATTTTAAACTTCCGGACATTTACTCTATTTCGCAAGGCTAGTGAATTGTTAGAAACTCGTCATTTCAAATATGTTCGTATTTTTTTGACATGCTGAAATTAATTATAAGTTTGTAAACTTAAGGCCTCCTGTGCTACAACATACCCGGTAATCTAGAAGTGGTATAAATCATTTTGGCATTGATTCCCAAGACCCCAACATTTGAAACCATCATAATTTTACATGATTGTTTTCAAGTGGATTTTTTATTTTTAAAAGTTTATTCATGTAACTTTCAAAGCATCAAATGTACAGATTTTTAACGATTTTTCGCGATAAATTAAAAACTAAACTTTTTGGCACCATTAACAACTGCCTCCTTCGTAAAAACAGAACTATAATATTTTCTCTTTTAGCAAAAATAGACAAATGCTTCTTCAATAAAATGAAAGTCACATGCACATGTAAAGGGAAATCTAAATGTGTACTCCGGAGTTTGCAATAAATGTTCTGGGGTTTCTTATTTACAGTTTCTATATAGTCTTTAGAGTATGAATTTCCATGGACATAAATTGTGCTCCTTTTAAACCTTCCTCTTGTACTTGTATGAAGCAGAATTTATTAAATATTTTTTGCATGAGAAGAAGAATACGATTGAAAATATTCAAACTTGTCCTGTTGTTAATTTGAAAACAGATTATATTAATTGCCACCTGGTAAATTCAAATTTACAAGATGACGTTTAGATAGCTGTACATTAATGATTTTATTTAATTGGTCGAAAGTATTCATCTTTATTTATGTAAATTATCATTACCTCATTAAAGTATGCTCATTTTTTCTCCTGCTATTGGGATGTTTTATGAATATAGACGTGATAGACAAATAAAAAAATTATATTGCATATCATATGATATACATGTATCCTATGGAACCAATTCGACATCCCAGTTATGTAGCAATTGCATTATCAGGTGCATATATACCGGTATATATATTGTGTCGTTATGTTATAACCAATACGGTATGCAAGGTTATGATTCTAAAATTAAAACCTTGGCAGGTCACTGACAAATAAGTTGACGGTACAAGGATTTTAACAGCCTCATTTGAAGTCACTATATCTCAAAAATGGGGTATCAACTTCTGTGGTAGTTACTTTTTCAAATACAAAAGGTTACATTGACTAGCATGTTTCATACATCATGTACATGCAATTACAAGTGGTTGTTTGAGGAATGCCCGGGTATCAACGAAAGCTGGAAACGTAAAATTATTGGCGATGTCTCTGAGTGAAAAATTCTCGAACGGGACTTAAAATAACATAAAATCAATCAGTCAATTAATTACTGTAAAACTTTACTTTTTCTTTCAGTTGACAAGGATGAAGTTAGAATTATACGCCAGTGTGCCATTAAAAATCATACTGAACTCGGTTGTTTCGAGAGAGCGGGTACCTACAAGATCAAAATGTTCTACTGCGAGTGCGAAGGTGACGGGTGTAATTCAGCGCCTCACGTGACAGTTTCCATAGCAACAGTCATCAGTTTCGTGACAGGACTTTTATTGTGCATGGTTTTATAGAAAGAACTTTTTTCTGACACTTTAAATAAGCGTAAGTAATTGTAGAATAAAAGGTGCCTCTTTTGAACAAATGATTTGTATGTGTGCATGCTTCTGAAAATGGATTTCCATTTCATTTTTATGAACATTTGCTGTAAATCAGTTATATTTCGCGGGAATTTTTTTTTCTTAGAGACAAAGGAAACAAATATTTTTGAAAGATGTCAAACAGAATTTCCTGTACTATTGCAACATTTGATATTGAGACAGCATTGAATGAAAGTTTAGAAAAATAAAGTTCTCGCGAAAAAAAATGTGATTAACAGTACACAGTACTTAGTGTTTTTTTGATGCAAATTAAGCATAACGGATTGATGTCGTATTTTGATTCCTTGTAAACTCACAATTTTGTACATATTTCTGCGATCTTTCGCAATTTACATGCTTTGATGTGGTAACATAATTTTGCATCTATGTGAAAGAAGTAATAAAGTTTATAATGGACACTTTACATAATGATACGATTGTACAGCATTTTAGTTCAAAGATCAACAAGTGACTAAGAGGTAACTGTTTGAAGAATACATACTACATATTCACTGTATTCTCTACATTACTTTTTGTTTTGCATAATCAAATTTTTTTATTGTTACAAATTTTATGAGTTATTTAGTTGTTTGTATAATGTGTCTACACCATTTTCACAAAATTTATCAAACACGCTATTGACGCTACCCATAGGTTATTATCCAATATCCATTCCTTTCCTCTTCAAAGGGGGTCGAAAGGGATAGAAACAAAAATTTTCAACTTAAAACAAAAAGTATCAAATAAGTAAGGTGTCCACCCCTTTCTCTCATTTATTTGATTGCACAAATAATTAACACAATCGCTCTAATCTTTAACATTCTTTTAAAATTGTGTCTTTCATGTACGATAGAAAACCACAACTGTTTTCCTAATGTTTCTTTTAACTTTATAATTTTCGGGATATACGCATTTTTACAAAGCAATTTTGCATTTGAAATGTGTTCTTTAAGGAAATAAAATGTATAATGCATGTACCATCGTGTAAAGTAGCTCGATTTTTATTCTCAGTCATTTGTATATACTACGTAAAAACAACAAGAAATCAACAAATTGTCATCATTTTTTCTCAACGTTACAAGCTGCGATAGGAGGCAACAAATAAAATTGTCACAAACATCATGTGGTTGTTAGATTTATGATGAGCTGACATTTATTTTAATTTTTAAAAGAATTATTCGTCAAGAATATGATTTAAAAGCAATGCAAAACACGAAGGTCTTCTGTAGAATTCACTTTGTATATTTCAAAAATAGTGTTTTTATAAGATTAGTGCACCTTTTTTGCAATAAATAATGACTGGTTTTGATAGCAGTTTCATTTGTTTATTCAACTTTATTGGTATAATAGGTTTTGGGTGTAAATTTTTAATTTACTAGATAATTACAAATATTGTAAATTTTGTATTTACCTCCAGTAATTTCAAAATTTCCAACATAATATTTAAGAAAATACATGTACTAAAACCTGTCATGTTGTAGATGGGAATTTAAAATTGTACTAAATTTTGTACTTACTATCACCGGTAAATTTATAATTTATTAGATGAAATATAGGGAGATAAGAAACAATATCCAAGCTGAAAGTCCATGAAACAGTATAAAATAGGAGCAGAGCAAACGCGGACCTCCAAAACATCAGAGGTGGGATCAGGTGCCATGGAGGAGGGAGTATCCCATGTTGACCAATCACATCTGCTGTGTGCTCCTTGTCATGACAACTCCAAAATTAATACCGGCTGCAATTATATTTTCAAACTTAAAACAAAAAGAGAAAATAACTTTTCATTTTTGTTTTTTTAAAAAGTTTTATTGTAAAACAGGTAAAACAAAGAACAATTATAACAGCATATTGGAAACAAAAAAATATCAGTAAAAAGTATAAAAATGATTGATTGAAATTTGAAGTACTTTTAAACTGTATGATCAAGGCTTTTTTTAAAAACTATCCTCATATTTATCGATATGGCAATACTGATATGAACACAAATAATTATAGAAGAGATGTCTTCTTCCAAACAATCAATCTAAACATAACAATGTCCAATGGTCCAGATACGATCAACCGGAATCCCCGGGATCGTTCTTTTATTACAAAAGAATGCACCATCCTGTTGTTGATGTTTAGTATTTTACATTCTGTGAAAGACGTCATAAAAGCGATGTACATGTATATCAATCAAAGAATCCTATTCGAAACAAGTGAACAAGTTAGTACATTCGCTCTATGTAGATATCAAACTGTAAGGACTAGCCAGTATTTTTTTTTTCATTCATTAAAAAGAATTTTTTCCTACATGTAAAAAGTATTCAACACGAAAGTTAAAAAGATATGAAACAAAATATGTCAAATTTTGCCATATGTTTCGAACCCCACCGAGCTTTTCAAATGACAACGCGCTTTTCGAACCCCACCGAGCTTTGACGCTAGATTACCGACATTTTAAAGTGAAGTATTTTGATACTGAATATCAAGTAAAATGTTTTGGGACATGGAATCCCAAGATATTGAAGCTCTGCTCCGGTTTTAACAGAAATACTTTTATCTAGAAAATACACGAAAAATTGAATTTAAATAACAGCACGACTATTTGAAACTGGCCTCTTTGTTGAATGATCGTGTTTTGCGTACGTCCTGTATGATGCCGTACGGACGTAAGTGGTAAATTAGATAATCCATTACGTACATGTCGGGAGGCGACATGTAATGGAAAGATATACTGTAGTCACTACAGCATCCAAGGCCCTACAATAAAAAAATGAATAATAAATACATAAAATTATGATTTTAAGGATATTAAAATTTATGAAAATTATGAAAATTGCAAGTAATTCTTTTGAAAAACAAGGAAAATGTTAACTTTCTCATTTATATTTAAAAAAGAGAAAATCAAGATGAAAGACCACCTGGTCAATAATTATATATGTTAATACAAATTTGATGAACGATCTTGTTTGTCTAAACATGAATATATTTTGTTTCAAATTAGTATTTCTAAGGAATGTATAAAAAGTCAACATTTGATTTTGTTAAAAACTTCAAACTGAATTGTATTTGCATATATAGTTAAGATGCATTTGCAAAAAATAAGATATCTAGGAGAGAACTCAAATAAAACAAAAACTTCTAATTTTACATGGTGGTAGAAAATACAAAAAATTAAAACGAGCATTTGTTGCAAATGTTGTGTTTATACTCATCGTTAAATTCAAAACTTTCAGGTACAGTATATTTTATCATAACAGTATACAAGAAAACATTGATGTAACCATCAATTGTCGCCCAGGAAATAAATAAAGTAAACAATGGAAATGATTCTTGATCACCAAACCCCTTCGATATGTGTGAAAAAGGCATGCGTCTAAATGATGGAGACGATAGTCGAGAATATTTTGAAAACGTATAGTTGGATGAAAATCGAACGAAAACGATAATTATCCTTTTAAACTTTATCAATTCCTCAAGTAAATGTTGGCTGCATAAAATATAAATTGAAAGCAGACACATACATCACCTACATGTATAATTAAAAGTGTATTTCACTTTAAGAATATAAAACACGAACTGTGTAGAGTGCGTTTTTTATGCGATAAGTAAAATTCGATGCTCTATAAAAAAGGGACCTCTCGTTTTTTCGATAGTAAATGATAAGCAACTTTATATATTAAATATGAAAAACATACATATTTTACAGATTCACTTTATGAAAGTAAATATATTATTTATCTCGAAATTTATAAAGGGAAAGAACATTCTGATTAAAAATCTTGTTAATGTTCAGAAAACCGTTGATTTTGAATAACTTCTCCCACCCAATTCCCATACACCCAACACTTAAACTTATATGTATAGAGCAGCCCGGTCCTCCGGGCTGCAATAATTTACTTATTATATTGAAAATCAGAAATTAGTTTAAGCAATATAACATTACATTTACTAATGAAAATACACTAGAGATTTTTGAATTTATCAGGTGACAGTAAATACTTTGCAATACTCATGACGGTAACGTTTATATAAGAGTGCACTTGCTATATACATGTTAGTGCAGTTGTCATTGCAATAGAGTTTCAAACGTGAAATCTACAAGCGCCAACATAATCATTTTTGTTTCGCTCCGTTTAACAAACGATTTTAAAAACCTAAAAAATCATATTTACGAAACGTTTAATTCCTTTACCTTTTTAGGGTAACTTGCCGCGTTGTTGTAAAACCATTCAGGATATAGACCCCTTAAATGTGCACTCGGATTAAATGGATGAAAAGTCTCCTTCCCATAAATATCTAGCGAATCTCCTGCCTTGATGCCAAGATGTTGCATACATTTACCAATTTCTGCGTCTTCCGCCCCGCCATCTTGTCTACAGTTCACAGAGTCAGAGAGACCTTTAGTCACAAATTTCTTCAAGGCTTCCCTGCTTAAAATATACCCCGCCCCTCCACTGAAATACCCCTGTTCCACTATCACTTTAAACTTGTGCCCAAAATATTGCAAAGAATTTGGATCGTGATGAGAAAGAAAATATCGTAAATTCTCTACGATCATATAAGTATCATCGTCTGCTTTGAGAAACCAATCAAACTGGTCCCCATAATGTTCGTAGCAATAGCTAAACGCCTGTATTGTCTTTGCCGTTAAATGTTGTCGTCCCTCCGTTGTATTAAGGCCGATGGTCGGAAAGGAAGCGTTTGTTTCACTGCTGAAGAACAATGCTTTGTTACAGCGCTTTGCCCATGTATTTTTCACTGCGGTTGCTTTCGTATCCAAGTTTTGTGGTGACGTCATGATCCAGCATAAAATACGGACTTTCTTGGATAATCCAAGGGCTATGACTTCATTGACATCTGTACATTAAGAATACGTGAAAAATGAACTTTTTAAAAATATATTATACATTCATGCAATTGCAATATTAAACATTTCTTGATTGGGTTCGAGGGCAACATGTGTTTTGCAAGAACAAATGCCGAAGACAGTTTGGTCGGAAGGGTCAGAAGAAGCATCTTGCCTCACAGAAATGTATCTTGCACTGACTACCATGTTGTCGACAATTAATGACATAAAACTGATTCTACTGTGACTAAAAAAGTTGCTGCACTCCAATTAATATCTCATCCACAGGTCCGATTAAAATTTACTTCTCACTCAGAGGTCTTTTTTAACCAGTCAGAAGTAAAGAACAATATCTTTGTGAAACACTGATGCCCATATATGGCAGAATATGGCAAGTGTTGAAGTTTCTTAACTGTAAGTCAAACTTCAAGGTCAGAATCAAAAGATTATTTTTTCGCATTTATCCAAAGGAAGGTCTTGTCTCAAGGAATATATCGGTGAAATATGAAACATATGAAACATATGAAAGTGTTCAAAAGTTATAGCCAAAGTTAAAGATTTTCAAAATTGGGTCAAACTCTAAAATCAAGGTAAAAAATATTTATACTCATTGAAAGGTTTTGCCAATATTTATACTAATTGAAAGGTTTTGTCACAATGAATGCACATGTGAAGTTTGAAAGCTCAAGCAAAACTGTTCAAAAGTTATGACTCCAAGGTCAAGATATCAAAGGTGGTTCCAATAGAAAGGTCTTGTCACCTGTGAAATATGAATTGCATAGACCCAAACACTCAAAAGTTATGGGCAAAGTTTTTGTAGACAAACAGATAGACAGATGGACGGACGGACAGGGCAAAAACTATGTACTCCCGATCTTCAGGTATGTGGACCTAACGATACTAAATTTCCTACCGCTGGTAAAATTATAAAGCTACCGATGCTTAAATATTTGTTAGAATACGTTAAGCAATGTAAAATTAATGAATTTCAGTCATTTTATATATTTAGATTTATATATTCACATTTTCTTTATGATATTCATGTTTTCATTTTTTAAAATTTAATCTCGATTTATTCACGTAGTGAATATGTAATTTTTTAAAAGCATTTTGATCATTTTTCAATAATTCATAAGCAATTTACAGCCACATGTTTGTTTATTTTTATATTAGCTGCAGATTTGTACGTTATGGTTTTACATGTATATACATGTATTTGTCTTTGACCATAACGCTACAGATCCCGTAATGCAAAAAGGTGCAATTTACGGCGCAATATTTTTTGTGCACGTTTGGGGAGAATTTCTCCACTTTCCTGCATCGGTCAATTAACCACCTTTCACTCCCTAATTCTAGGCACATTAAGCTTATTCAACTAATCTGTATACTTTATCCATCTCCCAACCCTTTATAGTCGTCCCTACAAGTGATAAACTCGTTTGATTAAAATTACTTGTAGATTGCTGAAAATTCACTTCAAGCGAGTTTATTGCCTGTAGAGACAACTATAAATGGTTGGGAGGTGGATAAAATATACATATTGGCTACAGAATGTGTCTAGAATTAGGGAGTGAAAGGTAGTTAATTGATCGACGCTGGAAAGTGGAAAAAATTCTCCCCAAAAGTGCGCAAAAATATTGCGCCGTAAATTGCACCTTTTCTGCTTTACGGAATCTGTAGCGTTATGGTCAAAGACAAATATATAAAACCATAACGCTACAGATCTGCAGCTAATGTAAATAGTAATATTTGACAACTATCTGGAGGCGTTCATTTCAATATAAAGTAGTAAATTTGATTTATGGGAATCTTCAGAAAAGGCCAGTTAATTAATTTAATTATTATGCAGTGCCAAAAATGCAGTGATCATGATGTTAAAATATTTCACAGTTTTTTTCTCTTTCGATGTGCTTTATAAAATACAATATAGTCAGCAAATGCACATAAAATTTGTGTAGACCAGTTAATTAAACTAATTATAATGCAGAAAATAAGATGCATTGGTCATGAAATTTAAGTAAAATTCATTTTTAAACTTTAGTTAGCAAATTTATGCTCAACACGTGCAGTGAATTTCATATTGATGCAAGAAAAATTATTTCCTTTCTGCATTGTAAAATTGTTTGCCATCGCAAGGTACTATTGCATTCATAAATTATCGTCCAATATTCAAAAAATGGAAAAATGTATTTCATCATAGTTTTTTTTTTAAATACATGTGCTATAATTCTTTGAAGAATAATTTATCTTAAAACAAAAAAGATTTACTCTACCTGAATGTCTAAAGTGATCTATCTCAACTCTTCCACTAAAGTCAACTTCATACTCCGCATCTTTAAAGTAAATGCAAATATTTGTACGTATGAAAAATGTTTACATCATCTAAAAATAAGGTATTATTTATTTTCGTTTTTTTTTCTTCAATTTTTGAAAAAAATACATGAATAACAATTCACATAAAAAAAATCACCGAGTGGAAATTGAAGATTTCTAACACGATTATTTTATAAATTTATTCTTCATAAGCGTACATCAAATTACACATCAAATCATCTACAGTTAATTAATCAAATACGATAGAATATTTTGACCTGACATTTACATTGGACACCCACCTTTAGCAAGTCTTGAATACTTATCCAAAAACAATACACAAAAGCAAAAGGTAAAACATCCCCCAACAAACAAACTTCTCTGATGTCGTCTGGTCACAACGTTTAACATTTTTCAGAGTCCAGCAGGCGACAAAATTCTGCAAGTCACAGACTTATGCTACTTTCACACGTATATATCTTTTCTTTGAATTCATCAGTTATCAATTTCTTCTTTCGCGCATCTTGTCACATTTCGCAGTCTATTTCACGACTCTAACAACAAAAACTTAGAAGTACAAACTGGAAAAGAAAAAAAAATTTTTTGCACTATGCTTGTCATTTCTTCACAACTCCCAGAATCCAGGGGAAGAAATAACGGCGCGCAATATCCGTGACAGTACAGAAAAGATCATGCATACAAATGTATCTTCATGTGTTAACTCCAGTAGATTTGACTTGATTAGACAGGAATTATAGTTAATAATTAAAGTCACAGTTAGGTGAAACCAAACCGCAACTTATGATGCTACGCCTCTTGGAACGTATAAAGGAAGGTCTTTGGTTTGATTGACAAGGCTTAAATATTTCTAATTAGAGATTCAAACATAATTGTTAATGATAAATTATTTCAATTACGTTGCATTGATTTATTCTTTTATTACATAACTCATTTTTCGCAAACGGCAAACTTGAGAATAACAAGATGTGTTTGTGAAACATTGATGCCTAGTATAACAGCTTTTGGCGAAGGTTGAAGTTACTCAAATTCAAGTAAAACTGTAAGGTCAAGGGATGAAATATGTCGTAACTCAAAGAAAGGACTTGTTCTCAATTAATATAATTGTGTAATATAAAATCCAAGCACTAACCAATATAAAGTTATCGCCAAGATTGAAGTTTTTTAAATGCTGGTCAAACTCCAAAGTCAAAGTCTAAGGGTCAAATTTAAGTACCCAGGGAAAGTCTTTATAATTAAAAATACATGTAAAATCAAAGCCCTAGTACCAACTGTTTTAAGGTTATGGCTAAGGTTAAGGTTTTCAAAAGTAGGTCAAATTCATATGTCAAGATCAAAATTGTTGGTATCTAAAGGAAGGCCTTGGCACATGGAATGTGCCTGTGAAAAAAGAAGACCCATTTAGTAACTGTTTAAAAGTTATGCCCAAAGTTAAAGTTTTTAAAAAGTGGGTCAAACTCAAAATTCAAGGTCAAAATATTCCTGAAAAAAGGTCTTATTACAATGAATACACATGTGAAGTATCAAAGCCCTGGCACCAATTGTTCAAAAGTTATGGCCACGGTTAAAATTAGGTAATTTCTTCCAAAATTGGGTCAAAATCCTAGGTCAAATATGTTTCAAATATTTTGGCATATGTATGCCCTGTCAAAAGGAATATATATGTGAAATATGAGAGACATTGCTCAAACCTATCAAAAGTTTTTGATGACAAACACATGGACAAACAACAAGATAGACAGACGGACAGGCAAGACAAAAACTACCTCAGACTCTTCATAAAATATAGATTGCAACAGACACAAATTAAAATGCATATTATGAGGATCTCAACCCCTCCCAAATTACACTGGAGAAAATTTTGAAACTTTATATCTTTTTTCTTAATGGACATCAATTTTAGGCGTTTGGGATCCTGTTAAAGGTAGATTTTTTTGTAAGTAAGAGGTAAAAGAACTACAGCACATCTCCAACAACAAGAGAAAATGTCTACACTATACCAACGATACAATTATGTGTACAATGCATAAACACGGTCTCCTGAAGAAAACAACAGAGGTGGGATCTGATATCCGGTGGATTGGGACAATCACACCCGCCGTTAGTCCTATGTATTGATCAGGTACATGTAGAACATTCTGTAGTCAAAATTTTGTACAAAAAACCCCAAAACCTAAAAAAAGGCATAAAAGAAGTCAGTCAAATTACGACCCATTGATTATATATATATATGTATTTGCTAATAAGATTAATATAACGTAATGCTGACTTTAAACGATGACGTTGAAATCCCTGCAACAGCAACTTATGTGTGAGTAGCTTGCTTCGGTTTAAAAATTGATCGCATGCTCTCGAGTAGCGAATAAGTTTGGAGACATAAACGCCAAAAGCAGGTGATAGTGGAATATCACTTCATGAATAAGAAAAGCTGACGATGGACGATGGAAAAGATTAAGACATCTCGTCTGTCATAAAGTATTGTTGTTAGTTGTCCTTAGTCTTGTAAAACAACCAAATAGTAAAAGGATGTGGCAAAGCAGGCAAACTCTGTGGCGTTAAAATGAATCTAAAGATAAAAAGTTAAAAAAAAAATGAGACATTTAAACAAATTCCTAAATTTCTCTTAACACACTGTGAAACTTCTGTCCCAAAAAGGAAAGTGACCTTTTCAAAAAATCGGAACTATTACTTGTGTAGCAAGCAACAGGTTATCATAGGTACATGAATACAATTTTGTTTGTTAATTTTGTTGAAGAAATATCCCTTTTCCCTTTAAAGGGGCATAGATACAGTTTCAGTTAAATTTTCAAATTTTATTTTTCCACTTTTACAAATATTTAACTAGAGTCTTTCTAATGATCATCAAAAATTTAAACGTCAGATGTTGAGATACAAGACAGATTTACAGCTCCAAACCTTTGTTATGTAACCAAGGTCTGTGTCATGTTTCGTTTACATAGGTTAAAATGCTAATATATGTTCGTTCAAAGTAGATAATTTTAATACAAAGGTTTTCATTTTGTTATAGATATGATATTTTCTATATGTAAACAAAAACAAGGCACGAGCCTTGTTTACATTGTAAAGAACTTTAAGTTCTGTATCTCATTTGATAATCAACAAATGATGTTCAAATTTTTGCTAATCATTAAATGAGGCCTTAGGTAGGAATAGTAAACATTAAAATTGGTTTTAAAAATTCAGTGGAAACTGTGTCCATGCCCCTTTAACAGTACACGTAAAACCTGCTGTTGCATTGCTTTAACCGAGAACGATATTCCTCTGTCTGTGGTACTGTTTCAGATTCTGATCATGTATACAGACGGCTACTGCAAGACACACGTTGATTGGACCATTAATTTAATGCACTAGACACAGATTAACGGGCATATTATGGGGATCTAGTCCCAAAATAAATCACATTCTGCTGAAAGTTGCCTAAATGAAAAATTAAGAAAATAACTTTCTTACACTTTTTTCTAGACATTATGGACATTAATAATATAAGTATTTGGCTTCTGTTTCTGTGTTTAGTGAGGGTTAAAAGCATGAAATAATTTATAAAGTGCAGTCTCACAAATTATGAAAAAAAAGATTAATTCTGAAAATATTTACAAGTGTAGAATATTTAGGTAACCGTCTCTGTATTCAGTGACATTTTATGTCTGACAATTGTTTGCAACAAATCCTAGGAAACTGACAAATATTTGAATCAAACATACAGGAAAACTATACGTGATACCAAGGGTACTTTCTAGATACTAGCATTAGCATGGATTTCGATTTTAAAAAATCAAGTTGTGTGCAAAAAAATTAAAATTGTATCTTTACTAACCCATTTTCCTGATGGATTAAAATAGTATTTTGCTAGGAACTTGTTTCAAATGAAAATTTTCTGAAATAGAATAAAATTTATCATAGTAACACTTTACTAGCACCCACATTTAAAATAAGAAATATAATATTTATCAACTTTAACATTAAGGTGTTGGGTATTTTACCACATCATATTTCCAGTTGAGTTTCATGAATTTATTTCTCTTTTAGGTTTGACACGACTTATATATAATTCTTAAAATAAAGATATGACTTATTTATTTTTATTTTAGCAAACATTTTTTTCTGGACCTAATGTTACTAATAATTCAAAATACTACAAGTCATTAGCGTGCCAAAATAGTTTCGAAACCCACAAAATATAGATTTAAATTATATAATGAAACTTTAGAAATATAACAGATATATACATTTGAGTGCGATTTCAAGATATTTGTATTATATGTCTTTCCCTTTTTTTTTTAGGAGGAATGGAGGAAATATAAAAGGTAAAATTAACGAACACTGATCTATCTCAAAAATATCTATAAACAATACAAATGTGGGAAAAGGGTATAACACACGGACCTATGGAAATTCCAAAAATGGAATCAGGTGCCAAGGGAGAAACAAGCATCCCCTGTTGACCGGTCACGTCCGTCGTGAGCCCTAGTTATTGACCAGGTAGACAGAGCTTTTTGTAGTCCAATTCAGTATTAAAACAATGGCCTAACAATTGGTTTGAAAGAAGTCATCCAAAATACTGCACAGTTGCAAGTTCATTATAGCGGCCACAAAATTTAGGAAATGACGACCTTGATTGAGATTGTTGAAATCCCTTTGACATCACCTTATCACTAAGTACCATGCCTTAACTTGCCTTAAACATTGACTTAACCCAAAGCAATCCCTTGAGTAGCGAATACGTTAAGAAACATTACCACCATAGGCAAGAGTGTATGAGTTGACTTATATTCAAATCTTGCACGTTCTTGTAAACCATGGCATTATTTATCTTGAGTTTTTAACTACTTATTTTATGCACTAGACATAGATTAACAGGCATATTATGAGGATCTCGTCCAAATATAAATCACATCTTGCAGGGAAAAAAAATCTTACACTCTTATGCTTTTCTTATGTTGTGGCGATTACAGACATAGACGGATCTCCATTATACTATAATATTTACAATGCAATCCACGTACATCGAAGTAGTCCTAATGGCTGTGCATGTCTCATAATTTCAGATGGCATAATTTTGGCAAGTATTTTCAAGATGTCACGATTGCCACTAAAACAAAAATGTCCCCATTATCTCATTCTTTATCTTGAACTCTCTTCTACCTCCTTAATTGAATTTTTGGAGTGAAGATGGAAAACTTACTTGCTTTGCCCTCTTGATATGCGTATTATAAGACAATTCTTGATTAAAAATACCTTTTTTTGCATTTTCAAAGATAAAAAATGTTACACAAACAGTTTTCTCGACGATATTGCCCCGGTAAGTATAAAGCATGTATATTCAAAGATGAATTTTGGGGATACTTGTAACCACTATACATAAAATTGTAATTCTTAAAAATCTTTGTGAACTAGTACGACGTTCCAACAAATCAGGACAACCAGCTAGTGGACGTGGCCCTCTGAAGAATTCTTGTGAAAAAGTATTCCCAACATATATTACAGTACATTCCATACGACTTGTAAGTCTTCAAGACCATGTTATAACATTACCTCCAAAATAATCTGTACAAAGAGCATACTTCTTTGCTGTTTTTCCCTTCCAATATTATACAATTATGGACTTCAGTGTAGGTCGGGGGTTTTCTTACTTCACATGTCATTCATTGTGACAAGAACCTCAACTGGTTAAATATTTTAGACCTTTTGACCTTGGCCTTAGAGTTTGACCCGAATAAAAAACCTTAACCTTGGTCATATATTTTGAACAAATAGAACTCGAGCTTTCATAGTTCACA